GCGAGTCCTCCAGCAGGTGCATCCCAGACTGAGCTGCCCCTCAGTAGCCCCACTGGCCCATAAGGGACAAAAGCAGCCTCTTTCTGGATCAGATGCTGCTCCCCCTCCTCCACACCCAGGTGCCACCTCACCCAAGCCTGGTCAGTCCAGTGCACCCACAGGCCAGATACAGACACAAAGGATCTGGGCAGAAACATTAGCAAGCTGTTGTGAACCAAGAGGCCAATGAACTGCCCACCACCCTTGTAAGTGGCTGACACTGCCAGTTGTCAGGCTGGCAGCCTCGGATCCACTGGTAATTATCACAGATTATATAACTGTCCTTATTAAGGAACGCTGCGTGGTGGCAGGGCAGTGCTGGACTCTGACAGGGGCTTGAATTCGGGCTCTGAGACTCACTAGCCTGAGCCTCATCGCTCTGAGCCTCAGTTTCCCCATCTGGGGAAACAGCCCCTTACCATGAGGAAAGATAAGATCTTCCTTGGACACCTGGTGCTCCATCTGAATAAGGTCAGGAAAGGACTCAACACAGTGCCCAGCAGCGAGGAGAGGCCCCCACTACATACTAGCTCATACTAATCACCTTGAAGCCCACGAAAACTCTGTGGCGGAAACAGGTGCATGTGATTCTTGATCAGGACAAATTAGTATCAACAGAGGCTCCACATGCCCTCAACGCTCTGTTAGTCATGGGAACACCTGAACATCAAGTGGGACCCTCATCATCACCTTTGGCAGCAAGAACACCCACACGGGTGCTGGTGGGGCCACCACAGCCTATCAGGGGCTCTGACTCACTTACCACTTCTCAACTGAGATGTCTTGCGTACCCGCCTCCATCCCGCTGCCCAGAATTCCTGTGACAGCACTCCTTCATCATTGCCCCACCTACCCAAACGTACCACAGCCATTGGGAACAGGAAGGGCTGACAGATCCCAGGATGGGACAGTAGAGAGGGGACTCCTGTTTGGGGTGGCGGGACCCAACGTCTCAGTATTCTGTCCAGATTCTGAGACTTCAGAGGTGTAGGGGTTATCAGGCTAGAAGGGCCCTTGAAAGACATCCAGTCCATCCCTCATCTGAGTCTTGAATACAGCCCCAGCGTGCACACCTGGTACTGCTCTGATCCAAATCACCCACATCTCTGACCTGGAGGATTGCACTAACCTCCTCACTGGTCTCCCTGCTTCCACCCGTCCCCGTGCAGTCTATGTCCAACACAGAAGCTTGTGATCCAGTTAAAACAGAAGTCAGATCACATCACTCTTCTGCTTAAAACCCTCGACTCGGTCCCCATTTCACTGAATAAAATGCAAAGTTCTTACAACAGCCCCTAAGCCCCAGACAATCTGATCTCTCTGTAACCTCCCCGATTTCCTCTCCTACGACTCTCCCCTTCAACAACTCCACCTCCACCATACTGACCCTCCCCTCCAACACACCAGACATGCTGCTGCCCCAGGGCCTTTGCATTCATTGTTTATTCTGCCTGGAACACTCTTCCCCCAGATACCCATATGGCTCACTTGCTCACCTCCTTCAAATCTTTGCTCAAATGCATTTAAATTGCAACATCTCCCTTCACCCCACCAGGACTCTCAATTTCCCTTATCCTGCTCTATTTTTTTCCAGAGCATTTCTCACAACTAACACACTCTATAATCTACTTATTATGCTTATTTTCTGCTCCAACTAGAACGTGCGCTCACGGGGCAGGCTCTCAGAAAGCATTGGTTGGACGGAGAAGGAGCGAGCTGAGCTCTGCCTCTGTGTAGCGTCTCCTGTGGGTCCCAGCTCTGCACTCTGAAGGATGCGAAGACCTCTTTCAAGACCACTCTCGCAGCCTCTTGCTCTTTGGTGAAGGTCTGCATTTTTCTCCAACTGCTTCTCCCGTGCCAGCTCCCTCTCCTCAAGATGTAACTCCATCTGTCGGCATCCCCCTGGAAGTGTAGAGTCCAGACTCGAGCCAGGTAAAAATGTTTGGAAGTGGACAGAGCGAAAATGCAGAAATTTGGGGAGGGAAGAAGCAAGACCAAGTTCCCAGGAAGAGAGCCCTGTGGAGTTTCTTTTGCACAGGCCTCCTGACATTGGACCACTCCACTGGGGAGCCCCCTACTTCTCCTACCTTTCTCACACCAAGCATTTTAACTGACAGCCCCACAAGCCTCCGGATCCCTATTTCCCAGAGAAATGTAAGGAGTCTGCTCAGGTAAGCACCAGATCCAGGACACAGGACAGAGGGCCTGGTGGGTGGGTGTGGGGCTGGACACCGGATTAAAGATGATGTGTACCCCTCCCGCCCAGCAGGGAGCTGCTGACGTGATTTCTGGCTCTCATCCCACCATCTCAGCAGGGAGGCCAATCCACAGCAGGAGCCCAGGGCTGGGGGGAGAATGAGCCAGCACCAGAGTCCTTGAATACTCTGGAGATAGAATGATCTAAAAGGGTTTCTAATGAAAACAAAGCCTGCCTAGGCCAGATGTGGTGAACTCTGAGGTGAGGAATTGCCGTGGTCAGCAGGGGACTGAAGAGAAGAGTGGTTCTGTGCAATCACAGCACCACACCACCCCCAGGATTAGCAGGTAGTTCATGTGAGCATCCGCACCTGGTTCTGCTTTAAATCTGGTAGACGTGACTCAGTGATGGCCTTTCCCACGGCATTCAATCTGCACTTCCAGCGCCTTTTCCAGCAGGGGATGGCGTCTCACTCAAGCCAAAGTCTGATTAGTTGGAGAGACGGACATGTCACAGCGCCCTGGGAATATTAAATAATATTTACAAGGGGATGACTGACGTTGGGAAAATAATTACCGACGGTAAGAGGCAATCAGGGGCGGGGAACTCCTCCACTGATCAAGTGGTGAGAAATTAGATGGAACGGGGCTCAGGGCAGTGAGGGTTTGTCACGGGGACAGTGGGGGGGGGTTGGAAAGTCGCTACCTCTGCTGATTCTGTTAATAGGATAAAGCAGCCTTGCAAATAAGAGCCAGACCCCAGGAGGCCTGCATTTGAGGTGATTTTAAAATCAGGCCAGGTCCTGCCAATAGCTTCACTTTTAGATGTGTTAGAACTGGAAGGGAGCTTAGAGATTAGCAACGCCACTGGTTCTCAGTTTGGAAGGTTTCTGCCTTCCAAAAATACTGCAAGTATTAAGTAATAATTAATTTGTTTTCACATTTTTTATTCATCAGACATATAGAGGACTGCCAGCTGGGACAAGCAGGAAAAGACATAAAGAGTCGATGTTACTCCAGCACCGAACAAGAGGCCTAATGTTTTTTTTTAATCAGCCCAGCCATATTACCCTGTGTAAATGTAGTTTCCCTTTTGAAAACATTTAAAATAACACAAGGGTCCACTTTCAAATACCTGAGGGATCCTGGAGAATCTACATCAGAAACCCCAAATCCAAGCAAACTCTCTTACTTTACACATCAGCACACTGAGGCCCAGGGAACATAATTGGCTTGCCCAAGGTCACACAGCTGGCTGTCAACAAGGCCAAGGCTAGATCTGGGGAAGCAGGGACAGTGGAAGGCTGTCCTGGACACGCAAGGGCAGGGAAGGAGTAAACCACAGTAGCGAATGCAGGGGCTGAGTGTGGGCTATGGACACCAGCAGGTGGGGGCTTGATTCCTGTCCTCAATTCTTACTAGCTGTGTGACCCTGGCAAAATGAGTGAAGCTCTCTGAGCCCATTTTCATACCAGTAAAATGGGGACAATAGTAGCACTTACCACATATTGTTGTGAGGATTAAATGAAGCAACAGAACAGAGCACTTAGTAAATAGTAGCTACCCTTCCCTAATCCTCATTTGTGTGCATGGTGGCAGTAGGGTCTGTGTAGAAAATGAGACCAAAAGCTTGGAGAAGAGGGTCACAAAATCCAACTTGCAGGTGCTGCCCTGACAATGCCAGTGGGACACAAATCCTGTCCCAATGGAGATCTAGGCACTAATCAAAATGCTGTTACTTCTAGGTAGTGTAACTCAAAACTGAGGGTGCCACAGAATCCAGACCATGTGCAGGTTCACTGCCTCTGAATCCCTGCCAGCTGGGACCAGGGAATCTGCACTTTAAAAAATTCTTGTGATATAATTTACATACCATAGAACTCACCATTTTAAAGTGTACACTTTCACCTTCAGTGGTTTTTAGCATGTTCATAAGGTTGTGCAACCATCAACACTATTCCAGAACCTTTTCATCACCCCAAAAAGAAGCCCCATACCCATCAGCAGTCACTCCCCACTCCCCACTCTCCCATCCCCTGGCAACCACTAATCTCTGTCTCTACAGATTTGCCTATTCTAGACAATTCATATGAATGGAATCATACAACATGTGGTCTTTGTGTCTGGCTTCTTTCACTTAACACACAACGTTTTAAAGGTTCGTTCATGTTGTAGCATGGATCAGGACTTCATTCCTTTGCAATATTCACTTTTAACAAGTTCCTCGGGTAGTTGTGAAGAGTGGACTTTGCAGAGGAAAAGAATAGCAAATTCCCACAAGGTGAAACCTGTGGTTATGATAAAGAGACAGGCCTCAATTGTTCCTTCAGGTGTGCCTGTCTCATAAGCCCCACTGGTAAAGGGAGGCAATGCTGGCCGCTTGCCTCCTCCAGAGACCGCAGAGGTTGGGCAGGGTCTCCTGGCGCTCAGCAGGGAGATGTGCGCCTGTGGACTGCGGCTGGGCTGCTCTGGGAATTGGGCAGATTAACCACCAGAGACTCACACAAGGGGATTTAGTCTCAACTCAAAGACTTTTTTTTTTTTAAATAATTTTATTTATTTATTTATTTCCCCAAAGCCCCAGTAGAGAGTCATACGTCACAGTTGCAACATCCTTCTAGTTGCTGCACGTGGCACGCGGCCTCAGCATGGCCAGAGAAGCGGTGCGTTGGTGAGCGCCTGGGATCCGAACCCGGGCTGCCAGCAGCAGAGCACACGCACTTAACCGCTAAGCCACGGGGCCGGCCCTCAACTCAAAGACTTTAATGTACACTATGCTCTTGGAAAATATCTCCAAGGAAACAAGTGGAACCACAAGTCTTAACCAGCAGGGATTCTCATTCAGAAACCTGGTGTGAGCCACAGCCTTGGAAAAGACCAGTGCAGGGACTCTGATCATAGTACAGCAGTTTGAGGTCAGGGTGGCAGGGCCTGTGTGCATGATGGGCACACCCTCAGGACTCTCAGAAAACTGGAGCATCATTACTCCGGGGGCTGACAGCTCCACAGCAAGACTGGGAAGATCTAGGCTGATCAGGTCTTCTCCAGAGCTCTACAGAAGAGGCACAGAACTTCAACAGGGCCAAAGATGCCTGCCCAGAGCAAGAACCTTTCTCTTTGTGGTTGAATCTCCAGGTCATCAGAAACAGTCATGGTGGCTCTGGTGAGGAATGGGGCCATATGGGAGGGTTGCCAAGTCCAACTTCTGGGTAGGAAGTCTTAGAATAAGATAGGTGGGAGGGGTGTGGCACCAGCAAGGCCCCTGAGGTCAAGGGCCACACCATCTTGGAAGATTTCCAACTGGGACCTCTGGACATGAGAATGGGACTTAGACAGAGAAAGCAAAAGCAGACTACTCGTCACTCAACCCAAATGTCTTCTGTGGTACGTTCTCCCCGGTCTGGGGCTCCTGAACGGTCACATGCCCATATTTCTGTGATGTATGACCACTCAACAAGGGGCAGGCAGAAATTCTCAGTCATCGCCCTGTTACCCTCTGTTTAACTTCAAAAAGTCACTAACTGACATCTCAGACCCCTAAGCAGTCCAGGGTTTCTTGTTTTCTAACTATCCTATGGAATAAGCAATCGGCCCTCTTGGGCTTTTGGTTCAATTTCTTCTCATTCAGAAGGAAGTAGGTTGTTGCTGACTTCTGTAGGAGCCCACCTAGAATTCAGTCAGGTTAGCACCAAGGCCAGGCTGCTAGAGAACCCACAAATGTGTCTTTAGGATGAGTACAGCCTCTCTGACACTGAAGGAACTTTATTTATTGGTGAAGGAGGGAATTCCGGCTCCATCTTTGCAGAACCTGGTGGCACCGATGCCCCGGCAGGTCCCAGTAGGAAGGGGTAAATGGAGAGGCCAGGACTGCAGCCATGTGGGAAGGGGCCTCGCTTGGCTGAGAGCATTCCCAGTTAGCCAGTCTCCACACCCTCAGGGAGCTCCACCACCACCGGGGCACAGTCCTCAGGCTCCGCCGCAAAGTCCCACCGGAACTTCTTGGTCAGGTGAGTTTGGAACTTTTCAGCCTTCTGCCGCAGGGTGGCATCCACGGCAACGCTGCAGGCGGAGGAAAAGAAAACCTACAGAGAACAGAGCATAAGTCACTCCTGAGAACACAGAGGGGGCTGGGAAAGCTGTGGAAATTTCCTCATGGTGCTCAGCTCTCTGGGGCAGGTGGATTAGCTGCTGCTGGCATGGGCACAGGATACCTGCTATGTTCCCCCCAAACCAAGAAAGAAGGTCCACATCCAGCTGAGAAGCTGGGGCAGGACTAGAACGGAAAGTTACTATCTTGGGCAGAGATGCCCCATTGAGAATAAGGCCAGTGGGGCCATCACTCTGGCTCTGCCGCCTGGGGGATCTACTGGGCACCTGGGCAGTAACTCAGAGGTAGTAGCTACGCCAGGTCGTACTAAGAAAGGCTTGGGGAGCTTATAAGCCTCTGGATCCCATGAAGTCCCAGGCCCTAAAGTCAATGTGGCTGAATTGCTGCTCTAATCTAAATGGGCCAGAATGTCAGTTTGAGGCTTCTATTCCCCCTAAAAGCTGTCTTTGAGGTTCTTTTTTTAAAATTATGGTAATATATACGTAATATAAAATCTACCATTTTAACCATTTTTTACATTATTATTTTAAAAATTATTTAAAATTTTACAATTTTAAAAATTGTGTTAAATATACATAACAGAATATTTACCATTTTAACCATTTTTAAGTGTACAATTCAGTGGCATTAAGTACATTCACATTGTTGCACAACCATTGTCACTTTCTATCTCCAGAACTTTTTCATCTTCCCCAACTGAAACTCTGTTCTCATTAAACAGTAACTCCCGGGCCGGCCCCGTGGCTTAGCGGTTAGGTGCGCGCGCTCCGCTGCTGGTGGCCCGGGTTTGGATCCCGGGCGCGCACCGACGCACTGCTTCTCCGGCCATGCTGAGGCCGCGTCCCACATACAGCAACTAGAAGGATGTGCAGCTATGACATACAACTATCTACTGGGGCTTTGGGGGGAAAAAATAAATAAATTAAAAAAGTTAAACAGTAACTCCCCGTTCCCCCTCCCCCACCCTCGGGCAGCCACCATTCTACCTTCCGTCTCTATGAAGTTGACTGCTCTAGGCACCTCATGTAAGTGGAGTCATACAGTACCTGTCCTTTTGAGTCTGGCTTATTTCACTTACCATAATGTCCTCAAGGTTCAGCCATGTTGTGGCATGTGTCAGAATTTCCTTCTTTTTAATGAATAACATTCCATTGTATGGAGAGACCACATTTTGTTTTCCATTCATCTGTCAATGGCCATTTGGGTTGTTTCTACCACTAGGCTATTACAAATAATGCTGCTATGAACATGGGTGTAAAAATCTCTCTTAGTATTCCTGCTTTTAATTCTTTTGGGTATATACCCAGAGTGGAATTCTTGGATCACATGGTAATTCTATGGTTAACATTTTGAGGAACTGCCAGACTGTTTTCCACAGTGGTGGCTGTGCCATTTTACATTCCCACCAGCAATCAACAAGGATTTCAATTTCTCCAAATCCTCACCAACATCTGTTATTTTCTATTTTTTTGGTAATAGCCATCCTAATGGGTATGAAGTGGTATCCCATTGTGGTTTTTCTCCCCCAGTTTTATTGAGATATAATTCACATACATCACTGTATAAGTTTAAGGTATACAGCATAATGGTTTGATATACATATATTGTGAAATGATCACTGTAGTCTGATTTGCCTTTCCCTAATGATTAGTGATGTTTAGCATCTTTTCATGTGCTTACTGGCCATTTTTATATATTCTTTGGAGAAAGGTCTATTCAAGTCCTTTGTAAATCAAATTGTTGTTGTTGAGTTATCAGAGTTCTTTATATATTCTGGATATTAACCACTTGTTTTGATGTTCTTTTTAATTCAGTTTCATCTAATATAAACATGCACAGAGGGGCAGAACAACAACTTTCTCTACATCTGAAACTCCATTCCAGATTGTTCTGGATCCCAACTCCTTCTAAGAATAACAGCAAACCCTTTACTCCTTACACTATTTTATTGTTTTCTAAGAAGTTTCACAGAGTATCCCAATGGATCCTCACAAAGCCCGGGGAAGACAATAAAATGCCTATTTTATGGAAATGAAGGCTGAGAGGAGTTAAATGACTGGATCAAAACTATCCAGAAAGGAAGGAGTGGTTTTTCCCCAACTACTCGTTGGCTCCCCGCAGGACCACCCCAGACACAGAAGCATGAGGGTGGAAGAAGCTCTTGGATCCACACCACCCTCATGCCATAGCTGGCCCACAGACCACCATGGAAGGAATCTGGGCTCTGGGGGCCTTGACCTGACAAAGGCAACAGTCATACTCTGCAGCTGATTCCAGGGACAACACCCATCCCACCTGCTTCTCCACTGTTTTTCCATTAGTGGGAAGAGTGACACTCATTTTCAGTGATCTTTGGCGCCATTTTGCTGTAGTGGTAGCAGGGACAGAAGTGACTGAGGGGCACAGGGAGGTTACAGAATTTGGTTTCATTAACTTGGGAATCAACTAACTACAGGAGCAGGAAGCACAGCCACAACAAAATACCAGATCAATAACTAATTAGAGGAGCTATGTGAGCTTGGTGACAAGGGCTGGGGAAGCCAGCGGCCAGTCTGTAGGCAGCTAATGGAGCTTGCCCTGGAGTGCCGAATGCAGTGCTGGCTGAACTCTGGGGAGGGGCCTGGAACGGGGAGCAGACAAGCCTTGTTTCAAATAGCCTTAGCTCCAGAGACCCTGCACACCCATGAGTCTGTCCCCCGAGGTCCTGGGGAGCCTGCTGGCTGAATTAGCAAAGCCTCTTCCTGTTCCCCCTCCTTACACAGTAGATTGTACTACTCTCTACAAAGCCCCTCCTCTCCAGCCACACTGAGCACCTGCCCAAGATGCTCTGCTGCCTCTTCTGTGCCTCTATGCACACATGCTTTTCCCTTTGCTTACAACACCCTTCTACCCCCTGCTTTCTCTTCCTTCACCTAGCTAATTTCTACTCGTGACTCAGGCTCAGCTCAGACATCACCTCCTTTAGGATGTCTTCCCAGACCACGGACAGAACAGGTGCTCCTCTCTGCTCCCCCAGCTTCTAGGGTGATCTTGATCATAGCCTCAATCTCAGTTAGGTAAAAGTCCATTTACTGTTGAGCTCTCCCAAGAGACGAGGAGTAATCCAAAGCAGTGACTCTTTTTCACATCTGCATTCCACACTCCTGGCACAGAGTCTGACACAAAAAAGGATGCATTAGATGTTTAATGATCAAAAGAATGAAGATTCTATGAAAATCCATTTTTGGTTCACTTTTGCACAGTGCCTGGCACCAAATAATTGCTCAATAATTATGTGATGGTGCTGGAGAGAATAAGGGACTCATCCTGGGGAGGATGACTTATTTACCAGGCCCCCGAATGCCACCGGCTCACAAGCCATCTCCTTGCGACTTGCCTCTTAAAAAAGCCCAAAGTGAAAGAACTGCTCTAACCCCTGTTCCTAGCACTGTGCCTGAGCTTCCCTTATGGCATTTCTCACACTGTGCCCGCATCACAGTAGGGATCGAGTCCTAAGTATCAAAGTGTCCCAAACAGCATATCACCCAGGGCCTGGCATAGAGTTAGGGCCCACAGGATGCTCACTGAATGGATATAATGAGACAAAGGGATCGCCCTGCATTTGGCAATGGCCAACAGTGAGAGGTTGGAAGAGGCTGGGCTCATGCTCATCATTCATCCTTCCCACCCATCTTCTCAAACACTGCCTGGAAGTAAGATCAACTAGAGGCAGGTACAACAGAAGCCTTCGGTCTGAAAAATAAGGCTTCTAATTTGAAAAGTGCTTTGTCCTTTTCAAGGAACCTGTCAATCTCTTCTTTACTACAAACCCGGGAGGTGGGAGGACAGGAAATTACTATTCCCATTGTACAGATGAGGATAGTGATAAATGCTGAGCAAGCGATAAACGTCGAGCAAGATCCAGTCCAAGTAGGGAAATCTCAATCCTTTTTCCCTACCAAGACCTTCTTTTTGTCTTGACACAGCCTTAATACACCCTTGATATTTTCAACATTGCCCTGTGGGACAGCCAAGGGACAGTGCTTCTGGAACTGTCCCCTCTGCAGGCCTCCAGGACCCAGGGCACAGCCCAGGTTGACTTTTTGAAAAAATCAATTTCATTGAGGTATAATTTACATATAATTAAATTCACTCATTTTATTTTATTTTATTTATTTATTTTTTTTAAAGATTTTATTTATTTATTTTTTCCCCCAAAGCCACAGCAGATAGTTGCATGTCATAGCTGCACATCCCTCCAGTTGCTGCATGTGGGACGCGGCCCCAGCATGGCCGGAGAAGCGGTGCGTCGGTGCACGCCCGGGATCCGAACCCGGGCCGCCAGCAGCGGAGCGCGTGCACTTAACCGCTAAGCCACCGGGCCGACCCTGATTCACTCATTTTAAATGTTCGTTTTGACAAACGTATACACCCATGCAATCACTATATGATATAATCAAGATAGATATACGTTTATAGTTTTTTCTTTTGGTATACAGTTCTATGAGTATGAAGACCCTTATACCATCACAGTCAGGATACTGAACAGTTCCATCACTCCAAAAAACTCTCTTGTACTGCCCCTCAGTGATCAAACCTTTCTCTTATCCCTAGCCCCTGGCACCCACTGACGTATTTTTGTCCCTATAGTTTACAAACTTGATATTTTAAAAACACACAATTCAGAAGAGGAAATGTTGAGACAGTATCTAGTTTTCAAGCAACAATTTCCTTTGATTCTCTTGTTTTTTGATTAATTTTATGCCTCCTTCAGAAAACTTAGTAATGATCTGGTTATTTTATTTACTAAAGTGAAATCAAGTACATACTTTTTAACATTACTGAGAAATGAATCATCTTAATACCGGAAGATTAATCCTGGATATTTTAAAAATACTTTTGAAATAGGCTAATAACCTTTCACAGACAACCGTATTTATCTAAAACTAAAAGCACACCCACTGGGTATTTTTCTTCAAATGTAAAAAAAGGTATTAATACTTTTATCATTAAGTCTGCATATTCTAAAATTGTAAATTACTTTAGTCAGAAACGTGAAAGTTTTCTTTTAATCCCAAGTTAAATAAATTGAGTTCAGTCAGGTCACCTTGAGAAATTCAAAATATCAAGGTAGGTAGCTGAGTCACCTCTTATCCTATTTTTTGGCTAGACCAAAAAGATGAAATTTCCTAATTTTTTCAATTCCCAAATGATTATTCAACTTAGAATGAAACTAGCCAGAAGTAGAACATTTTATTTCCACCTGCAGAAGAAGAAAGTGGTGTTAAAAGTAAGACTATCACTTCACAATGATTACCAGGAAGGTAAAAAGGAGCAGGAATCATGTCTTCTGAGGTCAGTTTCAAGAATTTGGGATGTTTCATCTGGGGCTCTAATCATATATGGGAGCCCACCACAGAATCAGAGCTCAGCATTGCCATTCACTAGATCTGGTGATCTTGGGCAAAATTTGTGACTTCTCTGTTTGTGTTTCTTCATCTATAAAATGGGATTATATACTTAACATCTAGCATTGTTGTGAGGGCTAGATGAAATAATGTAAAGTAAGCGTGGAAAAGTGATAGCTGATGGCAGGACGTATAGGAATAGGGAGGTGAAATTTATCATAGCTGCTGTTACAATAGAAATACTATAGACATCACTGTCAGAGCCAACGTTTTCCCTCGAGAGTTGAAGATGGACACTGGCATTCAGAATGCTGGCAAGAAAGCATACACGGCCTATTGTGACTAAAAGTATTAAAAAAACAGGTCATGTGACTATATGCCTAAATGCTATGCAATCAGCAATAAGAATCTTTATTTTCTACATAACTCACTTTCTAACATACTATTAAATTCAGATTATCCTTTCATTGGTTTTAAACAAATTATGGTGACTCAAGTTGCTTTAAATAAAAGAAAAAACTGTATCTATTTTTGTAAAACAAGTAATTTTTATTCAAGCTAAATCCATGGGATTTGTAAAAACCAGAGGCATCTATTCAAAAGGGCCTTTAATGGCAGAGGCCATTGCGTGGCTAATTTCACACAAGCTAATGTGGCTGTCTTTAAGTGCTTACACATACAAATACCAGTCCCTCTCCATGGGTAGTAGCCCTTTAAGCTCCTAAGTAAGAAAGCCAGTTCCACTTACTTGACTACCCGGGGGAGAGCAGGTGGCTGGCTGAGGAAGGCTTTCATGGGCTGATTCATTCACTCACAAACACCCTGAGTGAGTGCCTCTGTGTGGGGGGACTGGATTCTCAGCGCCAAGATGGCATCAATGTAATTCCCCATTAAAAAAAAAGTTTCGTAATAGCCTTTTCCACATTGTGCCTATTGAAATCTCAGTCATCATTCAAGCTCACGGTCAACTGGCCCCCTTTGCAAAAAGCCATTCCTGATCCTCTATCCCCTCAAATCTCAACCCCAGTGTGAATTAACCAATCCCTCCCCGGTGCTCCTAATGCCCTTTGATCAGACTTCACTGTTTACACCTATCATATTCATGTCGTCTATTTTTGTTGCCACAGGAATTATGACTCCACCTGATAACATAAAGTAAGATAAGTGCTAGGCCTCGACTAAGGGGTGAAAATAACCAGATGAAGAAAAAACTGGTTTTGGGTAAAAGCTCATGGCTCAGTGGGGAAGTCAGGCAGATAATATATAAACTTCAGCAAGCACAGCCTGTGCAATACGATAGTGACAAGCACAAAGTAGGCTAATAGTACTGAAAGGAGAGAGATCAAGGATGGCTTCACGGAGAGGAATGCTTGAGGGCACCTTGTAGGATGAACAAATACATACCAGGCAGAGGAAAATCAGGTTCAGTCAAGAAGGCATGAAACATGGGTATAATGTTTTAGTCATGCCAGATGATAAGTTCTAGACATCTGCTGTGCTTATAGTTAACAACACTGTGCTGTACACTAAAAAATTCATTAAGAGGGTAGATCTTATATTATGTGTTTTTTACCACAATTGAAAAAAAAAAAGGCGGCGGTATGAAACAGCACAGCATGTCTGGGAATGTGCAAGGATACCGCTCTTGTTGGAGTTGCCGGAGGAAGGAGAAGCTGGAGAACAGGTCAGGACCAGATCAGAATGGACCTTGTGACCTGTTTGGGCTTTTCACTTTCCAGGCAATGAGGAGCTGCAGAGAAATCGGATCAGAGCTGCATTTTAGAGCAGCAACTCAGGTGGCAGCGTGGGAGACAGATGGACTGAAGGGTAAGCCTGGAAGCTGACAAACTCTGATGCAGTGTAGATGAGACCAAAAGGCCCAGGTTAGGGGAACGGTACCAGGGGCAGGATTGCCTTCTAAAACACTGACCACTATCCAGAGTCATTTGGTTAATTCATTTGTTTACTTTCCCACCAAAATATAAACTCCAAGTCAGGGACTCTGTCTGTCTTGCTCACAGCTATATTTCCAGACCTAGAACAGAGCCTTGTATACAGCAGGTACTCAGCAAATATCTGCTAAATCAATGAACAAACCCCCTGAGGGCAGGAACCCTGGCTAACTCATATGTATGTATTCCTCAATACTTTCAGGAGAATGCTGTGTATAAAGAAAGGATGCTCAAAAATATGTGCTAATATAATTTTTTTAAAGGCACGTGTCCTAGATTTTTCCAAATTATGACATCAAATTTTCTTGGTGAAAAAGTCCAAAGATAGAATTCTTCCAACCATCAGCTTTGCACATATACCTGGGCATCTAGCAATCCAGCTGGGCCCTTTTTGCTTTGAAAATCATTGCTGGCAACAAAGCTTCAGCCATTAGAGCTCAGCTGTTGGCTGTGCAGACAATGATCGGGACAGCCAACGACACAGTGTGGCCCGCCTCTGTCTGTGTGACAGAATTAACACACATCACAAAGGTAGCACATATTCCCGTGGGCCAGAGCCACTGCCAGAGGCAAGATAGCAGGCTGATGCCTCCTACTGCTCGGCAACCCACAACCCAGTAACTGTGGGGTGGATTTCCCCTGCAGAGGAAGGATAAAGGGATTTAATTTCTCTGTTATATCAAGAGCAAATAAAAGGGCAGTTTTATAACTCTTCTGAAGTGGAATACACCAGGCTCAAGCCATCAGCTTGACTGACTCATCCCCATGGTCTGCACAAGTCCTCCAACTGCCAGAGTTTGTTTGTTTGTTTGTTTTTTTGTGAGGAAGATCAGCCCTGAGCTAACATCCACGCCAATCCTCCTCTTTTTGCTGAGGAAGACCAGCCCTGAGCTAACATCTATTGCCTCCTTTTTTTTTTTTTCCTGGTTTTTCTCCCCAAAGCCCCAGTAGATAGTTGTATGTCATAGTTGCGCATCCCTCTAGTTGCTGTATGTGGGACTCCGCCTCAGCATGGCTGGAGCAGCGGTGCGTCAGTGTGCGCCTGGGATCCGAACCCGGGCCGCCAGTAGCAGAGCGTGCACACTTAACCACTAAGCCACGGGGCCGGCCCCCAACTGCCAGAGTTTTAAGTCAGCTGACTGCTCACAGGGACTCTTCCAACAGTTTGTTGGTTTTATTTATTTATTTATTTATTTTTGCAAGGAAGATCAGCCTTGAGCTAACATCTGCCAATCCTCCTCTTTTTGCTGAGGAAGACTGGCCCTGGGCTAACATCCGTGCCCATCTTCCTCCACTTTATATGGGACGCCACAGCAGCATGGCCTGACAAGCAGTGCGTCAGTGCGCGCCCGGGACTTGAACTGGCGAACCCCGGGCAGCCACAGCGGAGCGCGCGCACTTAACCGCTTGCGCCACCGGGCCAGCCCCCAGTTTGTTGGTTTTAGAAAAGTGTTCTGTACCTCTGAGAAACAGGCCCCTGATGGTATCTCCACAAACATCAAACAAGAATCTTTTAGGGGGATTTATATCATATTCAGTACATAGAGGCGTAAGCATAGGCCCTAAACCAGGACTCAGGCCTGGGTACAAATCCTGACCCTGACTCTGCCACTTACCAGCTGTGTGACCTCAGGCAAATAACTTAACCTTTCTGACTCTCAGTGTCCGCATTTGTAAAATGGGAATAATCTTTCTGCCTTATAGCGCTCCAGAGATTAAATGAGGGAACCCATATAGTGTGCCTAACACCCAAAAGGCATTTAATGAATGTTCATGCCTTCCCTTACCCTGGATGGGAGTGGGAGGTTAGTGACTAGCAACCTTGTAAGGAGCAGGCCTTGTAGGGGTCTCAGGCCTTGTGGGGGTCTCACACTCAGGGAGAAGAAAGCAGCTCATGGAACAGAAAGTACGGAAACTGACAGCTTGCAGCTTCTGCCTTTTCTATACTTGAGAAAGTTACAAAACGTGAGTGAGAGAGACTGTCCCAAGAACATAAAGGAAGCTAATCTATTTGCAAAGGGAGGAAATAGCACAGGATGAAGATTGTAAGTTGTTTGAAGCTTCTTCCCTAATTACCACTCATAATGAAAATTTAATTGCCAAGTTAAAAGCAAATTTCACTTTTTCTGTCAGAATCTAAGCAGAAACTGGCACATTTTGTTTGAACAGGAAATCAAAGTTACTTTAATGCTTAAATGAGATCTAAGGAGCTGCAGATGTTTCCCTGGGAATAACAAGCTTCAAAACTCTGTCCGACTGGGTTGCAGCAACTGACGGCTACAAGGAGAAAGAAACTGTTCTGAGCTGAGTAACTCAAAGAGGTGGAGCTGATTCAAATTCCTAGTACCCCAGGCCTAGGCACTCTGGGGGCGAGGCAGGGAGAAGGTGGTACAGAGAGAGGGTCTCTGGCATCAAGGAACTTACAACTCAGTAGGAGACAGAGAACCAGGAAACAGCCCAAGATTAGGAAACTGAAATTAAGAAAACTTTGGCTCATGAAAGAATAACAAGACAGAAAGGTGACCCTCCTCAGGGTGCTTTCACACACCCTGGCCTTAATTCTGACCCAGATGGGTGTCAGCCAAAAGACTGCTCACCTGTAAGGTGCTGGTGAGGAAGTTATTCTGGGAGACAATGTCCACAAAGAAGTCAGCAGGGATCTCGCTGAGCTGGTGGTACAGGATGGAGATGAGGTTGATGTAGAGGGTGTGGTGCTTCACCATGGCTTCTTCTGACCGGCACAGGAGGTTCAGGAGCTGCTTCCAGTGCTCAAATGCCTCGTACACATTCCCCAGCAGGAAGCATACAAAGGCAAACTGGAGTTCACCTGAAAGGTGCAGAGAGGAGAAATGACCCTGAGAGAGAGGAGTACCAGCTGACTGTACAAGGCCATCAATTCCACTGGACCTCAGCAATGGGTGGCCTTTTATCCTCGTCACTCCTGCAGAGCCTAGCACGGGGTTCTGCACCTAGCAGATGCTCAGTAAGTTTGCTGAACTGTTATAAACTCAAGCCACGGGAAACCACATTTTGGTTTTGGATTTCTGCAAAATCAGACTGTAGAGAAGAGAGGTACACCTAGTATTTGCCTGGCTGTAAAAAGTTTACAAAATGTGACCAATGGACATCATGCCATGTGGATCCCAAATTTGGCTGCCCATCAGAATTACTAGCAGAGCTTGTTAAAAATAAAGCTGCTGAAGCCTCACCCCCAGAGATCCTGGTTGAGGACAGATGATCTGTAGCTCTAACAAGCTCCCCGGGTGATTCTGATGCAGAGTCTGCTCCAGGGTCAGGGGAATGCTGCATTACTCCATGTAATCCTCAGCCCAACTGCACAGAGTAGTCAGGGAAGGTGATATTTGCCTCATTTTATAGATGAGGTCAAGGGACTTGGCCAAGGTCTCATATCTAAGGCTTGGCAACGTGAAGAATGGAAAGATAAAACATTTCCTATTGGGTGGGAAAAGTTCTAAAGCCTCCCAGAACAGGAAAATTCATGAGTACTTCTTCCAGGGTTGCCTGCCAGCCAAATTATTTTTGTTTGTTTAACCACAGGGCTCTGTGATTTAACTCTATGAGGAGCTTGGTGGCTAAGAGCATGGGCTCTGGAGCCAAACTGCCTGAGTTCAAATCTCAGCTCCACCGCGTCATAGCCGTGTGACCTTGGGCAAGTTACTTAATCTGCTTACGTCTCAATTTCCTTATTTGAGGGCTGTAGTGGAGATTAAATGAGTCAATATAGAACATGTAAAGATTTAGAATGCCTGGCACAATGCAGCACTCAAAAAAAGTTAGTTATTGTTATTCCCATATTTCCACTGATGCCTATCTCAAACAAAGAGAGCTGATGATCCAGGAGCCTTTGTCCTGGAGCACGCAACTGGGTCTCTGGTTGCCAGGATATACTGTTGCTGATCAGAGACATTCTCTCTGGCTTCAAATTTAGTGAGGGCATCTGTGGTATACTTACTAGTGGGCCATGAAAAGAACAGATGCACTCAACAACAAATACTCCTTTAAATGTATGGTGTTTGATCTCTGTCACCTCCAGAGAATCTGGAAAAATAAGATTCCTGTCCCCAGGCCTGTGGAACTGGGTGTGATTTATGTGAATAGTTACCTGGTCTAGATATTTTGGATGTTTGACCAATATTTTCAAAATATAGTCAGATTTTCTTTGTATGATAGAGGTTAATGATTTGCTTCTTCAGTTGGCTTTACCTGGTTAGTTTGTGAAAACATAAGCTTATTCTCTGAATTTAGGGCATTTATTTAAATTCATGCATTTCTGGCCTAGTCTAAAATTAAATTATGAGATCAGAAATAATTTCAAAGAGCTGTCATGAAGACACAAAGTTATCCCTTGCAACAGACCTTTTCACAAGATTACTTTGAAGAACTGAAATGTTTAAGAGGTAGAAAGCAGGATTTCTATTCATTTTTAAGCTAGAATTTCAAGTGTTACTTATTAAATGAAAATACTGTGTGATGCATTAAGATGCACCCATTAAAATGTCCCTTTTTATCAGCTGAGCTAATGATATAGGAAGCCCTATATTCAAATTTCTCACTGATCTTCCAATAGAAAAATATGCAAACACCTGGACAATTTTTAAAAGAAAAAATAAAATAGCTGCTAAAGATGTGATGAATGTTTGCTGTCACTAGTAATCAAAGAAATATAAACTGAAACCAGATGCCATTCTCCAACCATCCAGTTGGAAGAGGCCTTTGCTAAATCACTATGTCAAAGGTGACGGGCAACAGCCTCCCACCAGCTGGCAAGGATGCACAACCTTCTCCTGGTAACACGCACACTCTGATCCAACAAAGTCAATCCTAAATGTATGCAGAAGTACATACAAGAATGTTCATTAGACGACACTTACAAAAGGGAAGATAGCAACATCTTAAAGGTCCATTGACAGAGGGCTGGTTCAATAACTATGAAACATAAGCAGCCACTAAAGAGGAGCAGCCGTTTCAGTGACATGGAAAAATGTCTGTATTAAAGCAGATTACAAAATAATATATTGTAATCCTGTTTTTGTCAAAAACGATATATACACACAAACACATATGACTGAATTAAAAAAAAGCATAAAGGAAATACATAGAAATATAATAGAGAAAAGACTGAAATGAAATACATACATACATATATAAAAGATGGAAAGTAAATACACCAAAATGCAAAAAATGGTTATTTCTAGGTGGGGGGAATTGAAATGAATTTTATTTTTGCTTTCTTCTATGATGAACATATATTATTTTTGTAATAAAGGGGAAAAACAATGATAAAAACTTTAACAATTAAAAAAAAATCACCATCCTGGTCTAAGCCAGTAGTGAGACCAACACCTTGAGTCGGGAACAAACCAAGGAGGCACTGGGAGGCCTGGGAACCAGGAGCCCTGGGCCACTTAGTTGCCTCCCTCTTCCCTCGGCCACTTAGTTGGCCAAATCCTTTCCCTCTATGGACCTCAGTCTGTAAAATGGCAGGCTGGGCCACATGAGTGGTTCCCAAACACAGGATTGTCTGCATTAGGTTCACCTAGGGTGCTCGTTTATTAGATAGATAGACAGACAGACAGGTAAACTGCTGGGGCGCCACCCTAGATCTCCTGAATCAGTCTCCAGGGGTAAGGTCTGGGCACCTGTTTCTTTAACAAGTGGATTGGGCAAGACTGCCTCCTAGCCAGGTTTAGGAGCCACTGGACCAGATAACCGAAGATGTACGCCCTACTCTAAAGCTGCCTCCTATTTACCCCTCCCTTGGCCCATTCCCTAAGAGCCTTGTTCCTCCTCACCAAGCACATCCTGGGGGTTGCTGGGGAACTGCTTGCTGAGCACAGTCTCCAGGGCATAGCTGAGATCCATGCTGTGCCTGGTTATCTCTGCCGGCGTGGCACCTGCCGGGAACATCTGTGTGGGCAGCTCTGAGAAGCGGATCTCTGTTCCGGCTCTGGGCTTCATCTCAGGCAGCCGCGCCAGGCCCTCCTGGTAACTTTTGCACTCAGTGCCGCAGCGGGGTAGGTTCTGCCCCACCCGATCCTTGGTGTGCTTCATGGAGAGCACGGGCAGCACCTCTGAGAAGGCACAGATCTGCCGGCTTTCAGGCTGCAGCTTCTCCATTGTGGCCTCACTGATGAAGTTGGTGAGTGAAATCCACTTCTTGAGCGTGGCATATGGGTAAGGTCCCAGGAACTGGTCCAGCTCCTGGAGGTTGGCCCTCATGGCCTCCACCTCAGCCTCTGGGGCTGGGGATAGGTCTACCTCTTCCCGGACTGCATTCCAGCGCAGGACCATCAGCCCCCGCTGCTGCAGGCTAAGGAAGAAACCCATACGAGGGCCCACCTCCCTGGGATTGGCCTTGTCCACAGAGCTGTAGTGGAGGAAGTGGATGCCTGGTGGGATCATTTTCACGCCCCGGAACTTCGGCCCCACCTCCCAGGAGTTGTAGTCAATGCCAAACTCTGTCCCCTTGGGCATATTCAGGATGACCACAGTGGCCCCTTCAAAGAAAAGGCGCTTGGCAAGCTCAGGATCCATCTGCATGGCAGCCATAGGACCAGTGGCGGGTGACCTTTTGGAGAACTTTTCTTGACTTCCAAAACAGCTGAAAAAGAAATAAATCAGAGTTAATCAGAACTTGGGGAAGGATGTTTCACTGGCTGAGCATTCTCTATACGACAGATATTGAATTAGACTCCTGACATAATTATCTCCCTTAATCCTCACCACAACCTTGCATCTGTTTCACAGATAAGGAAACTGAAACTCAAAGAAAAGAGGATTTTTGTGTTTTGGTTTAATGAGCACGAACACTCACTTCATAGCTAAAAAGACATCAGTTAAAGAAGTGACATGCTCAAGGTCACAGAAGGACCCAAATTAGAACCTGAGTACCCGGCCCTCCAGGCCAGTGTTCTTTCCACTGTCCACGCAGGATCTACTCTCAGATCTCTCTCTCACAACAGAGGAAGAAGGTGGAGAAAGCCTGGATGATCCATTCTAAACCATAACTCTGCCTAAAACCTATTGCTGGAGAGTCCCAGAAGAGCTGAGAAAGATGATTCAATCAAGCACACACCCAGTTTCTCACAAGCCTCAGGCAAAGCCCAGAAATAGACAGAAGGTAGAAAGTGGGTGCTTTCTACTTAAAATTCACAAAAGGTTTGGGCTATTCAATATTCAATTTTGAGCTATTCAATAGCTCAAAAGGTTTTGAGCTATTCAACTACAACACCCTCTTTATCCTATTACTTATAAAAAAGCTAAAGTCTAGGAAGTGAAACGACTTCCAAAAGGGCCCACAGTCAGTGGCAGTTTTGGTCCACTCGCCCAGAAGGGATTCAGGTGGCGTGGCTGGCCTAGGATCAGTATTTAGAAGAGAAAGAGCTTAGAACACCTATTTTATCTACTTCTGAACTACCCATGAGGACATACTGATAAAACTTCTGTAGGCAGGCAGACACTGTCTCTGTGTATTTATAAGAATGGTTCCAACATGAACTAATTTAAACCAATTATCTAACCTTCTAGTCCCAAGACACCTACCTATTTAATTCAACAAATAATCACTGAGTGCCTGCACTGTGCCAGGATCCTTGCCGGGCACTAAAAGAAACATCCAGAGTAAGACAGTCACTGCCCTCCAGGCACTTCCAGTCTAACCAGACATACTAACAAGACCCCAAATTTCACAAACAGAAGAACCAGCTGCCTGTTTAATTCTTTTTTACTCTTTTTATGCTAAACAAAAGTGAAGAAAGGAAGACCAATCCTTTTCCAAAAATGTTAAGGGCATATTTTATCATCTTAACCCAAAAACCACTACAAATGACTCTCACTCTAAATCAGAATTTTGTCTTTTCAAACTGCAAGTCACAACTCGTTCATGGGTTAAGAAATCAATTTAGAGGGTCTCAACCAGCAATAATTTTTTTAAATGAAAAGAAAAGAATTATAAAAAATCAGAGTACACCATGAATAGTAAAGATAAGTATTGTTTTCTGAAGCTTTGTGTGTTTGTACATACCCTTGGTCAAGATGTAAAATTTGTTACTGTAGGTCACAGTGAAAAAAGTCTGAAAGCCACTGCTCTAAATAATTTATATCATCATCTTCCTACTTCCAACTCTGAATTCAGAATGTACTTAATAAATATTTGCTAAATGAACAGCTATTGCATTTAGAATAACTGCTCATCAATTAGCTATTTTCTCTTGTGGCATCTGTGTGCTCCTCCTTGATAATGACATTCCTTTCATTCTAATTCCACCAGCCTATAATTCTCTTCAGTGTATCTTCAGCAGCTGGCACGTGGCCTGGCACAGAGAAGATGCTCTGGAATGCAGAAAGTCACATCCCTCCACCTCTGTCCACCACCTCCTTAATCCAAGCTACCATATCCCTCAGCCAGAGAGTGCTTGCCCCCTCCAATCCCTTCTCCAAGAGCCAAAGTGACCTTTTCAAAGTGCCAATCTAAGCATGTCACCACCCGCACCTATTACCCTCTGAGTGGCTTCCCATGTGGCTCTTGGAAAACCGAAATTCTTCCCACGACCTACAAGGCCTATGTGGTCTGTCCCCTGGCCACTCCTCCAGCCTGTCTCATACAGTGCTCCCCCCCAATAATCGCTCTGTTGCAGCCACACTGGCCTCTTCCCCACCCTCAAACAGGAGGCTCTGGATAGAAAACTCTTCCCTCCTCTCTGCATCAAACCATTTTTCCGATCTCAGCTCAACATTCACTTCCTCAGTAAAGCTCCCTTGACCTGAGGCTGGCTCAAGCCTCCTGTGACGCACTCTCAGGGCGCCTTGCACCTTCCACTGCACTCAGCACGGCTGCGATTTTCCATATGTTTAATAGAGGGCTGTCACCTCCACGAGAACTGAGTCTTTTGTATCTCCAGCACATATTAGACGCTTGATAAACATTTCTATAATAAAAGCATGACATCCATCTTGTAGATGAGAAACAAAGGCTCGGCTCGGCGAAAGACCTTACCCGAAGTTACAGAGAGTAGGACAAAACCAGGGCGGGCGGAGCCAAGGTCTCCAGCCCCCAAGTTCTACAGTTAGGAGGAAAGCGCAGTTACCCCGGGTGCCCCTGGAAGTCCCGGCGACGGTCCGTGGTGACGGTTTCTCAGGAGAACGGCCTGCAGACACCAGGGTCCCAGCACCGGCCCACAGACCGGGAGGAGGCCGTCCCGGCGAGGTGCTCCAGCTCAGAGGCACTCCGTAATCCCGAAGCAGAAAGAGGGGCGGCCGCGCCACACAGACAACGAAAGAAGAGGAGTTAAAAGTTGACAGGAGGCAGCACTCACCGACTTCGGTCTTGCCCACGCTCAGGTTCCGCGGAAGCGCACCGGAAGTTCTACCGCTTAGGCGCCGGACCGGAGCCACGAGGAAAGCAGCCCGGCAGAGTTCTCGGTCGCGGAAGGAACGGTCCGCGCCTGCAGGTTCCGCCCCATCAAATGTTGCCTTTTGCTACTTTTAGTTATTCGTTTTAGTTCCTGAACCGTGGAAAACAACTTTCATCAAATGATGCATTTTATATCCCCCTCCAGAAACACATCCACCAGCAGTGGTTCTTTGGTTTCAATCAGTCATGGTCACTGAAGCTGGGGTCAAGGTCATGGCTGCCCAGTAGCCACAGTCAGACCTTCAGTCATGGTCCTGGTCAGCCAGTCTCTGTCGGAGTGACGGTATCACAGCTGGCCTGTTATCATCCGGTCCTGGCTCAGCCCTAGGGGAGAGTCTCTGAAACCCAGCCCCCAGCCCAGAGAGAACCAGACTCACCAGCAGTAGTCACCACATCGGTCCCTCCAGCCATAATCACAGGGTCCTCTGGCAGCCCAGGCCTAGTATGCTATCTCAGTCAGGCTACAAATGCACCCGGAGGGAGGAAAGTCTATCTTGTTCTCCACTGTTTCCCTGGAACCTAGCACAAAGCCAGGCACAAAGGCTCAGCTCAGTGTATATATTATGCATTTAATTAATGACAGTAATTTGGTATCAATAAACGGCTTCTATTTTTGGGCCTAGCCCTGTGCTGGGGGGTTGTATTAGTCAGGGTTCAACCAAAGAAGCAGAGCCAACAGGAGATATATAGGACATTTATTGCAAGGAATTAGCTTACGTGATTGTGAGTGCTGGCTAGGTAAATCCAAAATCCATAGGGCAGGCCACTGGTATATGATTTTTAATCCTTACACTAACCCTCATAAGTAGGCATTAGTATTCCCAACCTACAGAAGAGAAAACTGAGGTTCAGTGAGGTTACACAGGCAGAGAGTGGTGGAGTTGGAATGCAAACCAAGGTCTGACTGGCTGTTCTTGCCCCTGTGCTGCTGCTCCTTAGCTTGTCTGTCACATTTCCTCAGTGACAGCTGGACACGCCAATCTGTCTCTGTCAAAATTCATCACTTAGTGGGTTACAGACTAGACTGGGCCCTGCAGTCATGGTTAATCACAGTGAGCTGCTGCAGGATTAACCAGAGATGGCCTCCATTAGTCACAGTCATGCGTGTCAGTCTCAGCCTGTTGTGTCAGTTCCATTTCCTGCGTGAAGCTCAGCTCCCTCTCCGCCCCTCCCCATTCTTAGGCGCTGAGCTCTGTGGTCTGGTTTCAGAACTCTGTGTTCCAGCTGGGCTCACCATCTTCTCAGACTCTAGGGCACTAAACTAGGGACTACAGCACAGAAGCTATAGATAGTGGCCCAGGAACCCTACCATGTGGGTGGAATGTCCATCCAGATTAGGTTTCTCAACCTTGGTACTATTGACATTTGAGGCCTGGTAATGCTCTGTTGTAGGGGGCTGCCCTGTGCATTGTAGGATGTTTAGCAGCATCCCTGGCCTCTACCTGCTAAATGCCAGTAGCACCTCTCAGTTGAGACAACCAAAAATGTCTCCAGACATTGCTAAACGTTCCCTGGGGGACAAAATCCTCCAGTTGAGAACCACTGATCTAGATGAACCAGCCCTAGGTTATTCCCAAACAGCTCAAAGGCTGACCCTGTATTTACGGGAGATGGAGATACAGATCCAGGGTGTGTGGGTACGCAATGTAAGGAAACCTACAGGGAAAATTCAAGGAAGGATCACAAAGCTCCAGGAAGCAATTGCCTCTGACAATGGACAGGAGTCTGGAGTGGGTTGAAGAATGGCTTTTCACTGCATGGCATTTTGTATCATTTAATGAATTAACTTTAAAAAGAAAAGACATAGTATTTGAAATTATAGGGAAACGCTCAGGATTTAAGTTTAAAAAAGTATTTAGAATGATACATACTAGGTGACTTCACCTCTGAAAAAATACACATATGTAGAAAAAGAATGGGAGAAAATGCACCACATTATTAGCAGTGGTTCTCACATGTAAGATTTTGGGCAATAAAGAAAGGTGGTCTAGGGGCCGGCCCTGTGACTTAGCGGTTAAGTGCACACGCTCCGCTACTGGCGGCCCAGGTTCGCATCCCGGGCGCGCACCGACGCACCGCTTCTCCAGCCATGCTGAGGCTGCGTCCCACATACAGCAACTGGAAGGATGTGCAGCTGTGACATACAACTATCTACTGGGGCTTTGGGGTTAAAAAAGGAGGAGGATTGGCAATAGATGTTAGCTCAGAGCTGGTCTTCCTCAGCAAAAAGAGGAGGATTAGCATGGATGTTAGCTCAGGGCTAATCTTCCTCACAAAAAAAATTAAAAAAAAAAATAAAGGTGGTCTAAGGTGAGTTGCTTAGTAGAATAAAAAGGAAAGTGTAGTACACGCACCTCAGGTAGTCCAAGGGATGAGCTTAAGTTTTACGTAGATTATGGGTTTTTAATTTTAATATTTTTGCATTTATTTTTATGAAGACCTCCTTTCTTTGGCAAGTGACACTAGTTTTCCATTTGTGGAAGGTAGTTTCCTTTTTAAATAGTTTGTTTTACCGAGAGTCAATTTAAAGAAAAATGATAAGTCAATAATGGGACAGGTGGCATGCACGGGGATATGGCAACATATGTGAAGGTGGTAGGCAAAGGCTGAAGTTGGGGATTGCTGTATACATTAGCCACCAGGCTCCCATGGAGGGGCTGTAGGAAGACACCCCAATGTAGGTGCTCTCCTTTCAGGAAGAGGGATCATGTTGTTCCTCCACACACGAAGCTCCTGTGTGGGGCTTGCAGGCTCACTGTTCCTTCTGCCTAGAATGCTCTCACCCAAGTTCTCCACCTTACTGAATCTTTCTCTGCATCAGCTCAAAAATCACCTCCTCGAGGAGGCCATAAGCCGCCACCTAATTTAAAGTGGTCTCCTTCGGTGACCATGCCCTCCCCCTGTGCCTTTCCTTTCTGGTGCTGATCACATGGAATTACCTCTGACTGCCTGCTTGTTTTGTTGTCTGTTTCCTCCATTAGCCTGTAAGTTCAGGGAAGGACTTTGTCTTATTTGCTGTTGTACCTGCAAAGCCTAACGCAAGACGTGGACCACACCGGGAGCTGCAAATATTTGTTGAATAAAAGTGTTCTAGGGTGGGATCTCTCCACCCCAGTTTTAGCTCTTCTCACAATGCGAACTTGTACTGGTAGCCAAGGTCAGAGAGAGAAGCCAAGGCAGTTTGTGGTTCAGCATCAAACACATTTATTTCACTTTTATTGAGTATACAAGAACAGAGAGCACACGCATACAGCACGGAGCACTGAGGTGGGGGAGTGTGGGGACCAGATAGGAGAGAGGGGGGTGAGTAAAAAGGAACAGGACAGCATCGCAGTTGGTTGGTAAGGTGCTTTTGAAAAAAAAATTATTTAGAGTGATGTTGCTCATGCAATTTCAGACCAGTCTTGGAATGTGCTTGCAGGATTCAAAAACTGAAACAGGTCCTGGCACTTCCTGTACCCTCAGATGGAAAAGATCCCGAGAAAGCAAAATGAGAGAAAACGAAGATCTGCAGGATGGCAGAGTGAAAAAAGACCCTGGAGAGCATCCGGTTTATCCTGTTCATTTTGCAGGTGGGGAAACGGAGGCCCAGAAGGGGTACGGGACTAGCCTAATGTCATATGGTGTGTTAGGGGCTGAGCCAGGATGGCCACCCAGAATTCCTGACTGCCCTCCAGGAATTTTTCCACTATGCTACATGGTCTCCTGGGTGGAGAGGCGGCACAGAAAGGATGAGAAATGTAAAAAGGAAAAGTAGGTTGAAGACAGATAAGACAAACATCTATATTCTCTATGAAGAGGAGTATGGGGAGGAAACAGTGCCCTAGATTTCAGTTGCAGCTCCCCTCCTCCCTGGTGGCACTGCCTGCCTCTCCGTGGAAGGAAGGTCAGAGCACCCGTGGGATGGAGAGCTGCACAAATCCTGCCCCACAAGCTAAGCCTGGCCACTGCATCCCTGCCCTGAGGCCACATAACCAGGGTCTGTAGGCAGGTGCAGAACTCAGAACAAATATTCTCTCTCTGAAGTGTGTCCAGTGTGCTCAGGATGTCTGGTTCCTGCAAAGACAGGGGTGCCTGAGACAAATTTTGGGGGGGCCAGAGAGGTTGGATCCACTTCAGCTCTTGGCCCAGAAAGAATGGGAGCTCTCAAGTGAAGAAGGGCAGGAAGAAGGTTTTGTGGCTTCTCTACCAGGACTGTAAAAGGAGCCCGGTGCATGGAAAGTGTGCTGTGGCACTCAGCGGGAGTTGGAGTGGGCTGCCAGCCTGCTCCAGGGAGGATGTGGCTGACTGTGCCACAGGGCTCTCTCTGCCCGCTCTCCATCCCATTTTGCACACAGAGGCAAACACTCTTCTGGTTTCCTGTCCTGCCTCAGGTCAGCCAGCTAAGCAGCTAAGCATATATGTGACGGGGTAACTGATATGCAAACCAGGACCCTCTGGAAGGCATCCCTGGGCAATGTCCGATACACTGGAGAGAATAAGGAAATGCTCTCAGAGGGGCCAGTTGTGACAAGAGATGTAAGGCTGGCTCAGGGAGCTTCCCTGGTCCCTCCCCTCCCCTCCCCCTCTCTCCAGCCCAAGAATGGTGACTGCCACAAGTGAGTACCCAATAAATATCTGTTGAATGAATTTATGGCCTGCTTTAGAAGCAGGACTGGGCAAGTGAGATGGGACTGAGAAATTGAAGTGCAGCGGGGCCATCCTCCCTTAGAAAAGGACTCATCGAGCTCAGGGAAGCAGCTTGTGGCAGGAAAGCCTGGGAAAGCCCATGTGTGCCAGAGGTCAATGCCAAGCTTTTGCCAGGGTCTTCTCCAAGGGCTTCTGTGGTCTCCAGGCAATTTCTGGGACTCCGAGGGCACAGGCATAGAGCTCGGATGCTGACTGAAGGGGAGGTCTCCAAAGCTAGGGTCTTACACATAGATGGAGAGTGAGCAACACCACCTTTCACCCTCAGCTTGTTCTGGGGCAGGCAAAGCCTTTGGGAACACAGTTCTGACCTATCAGGGCCTGCCCTGTGTTCATGGTCTCTACCACGGCTACTTTGGCCCAGGAAGAAGAGAATGATTCAGACAGAATATGGGAAGTAAAGGATAAGACTAAGCTGGGCATCTTCAGACAGCCAAGTTAAAGCTACCATCCTCTGCGGCAGCCAGGGGCGTCACATCCCTTTGGATAGGGAGTTAGCTGTCACAATACAGTCAGGGAAAGGCAAAACGTGGCAAAAAAAGAGACTACTAAAAATGAGGCAAACCCCCTAGGGAGGAAGGGGGACGGAGCCAGGGGACTTCTGCAGCAGAATCCTAACTCTGGACCCCATGCCTGAGCATAGACCAGGCCCTGGTTGCTACTGCCCAGGGGGAGAAGGCATCTTGGACTACATCTGTGTTGCTTCCTTCTTGCCAAACCCCTGCCTCTGCATTTGGGATCCCCGCCCCTCCCCACCAATCAATCAATTACAAACACCACACACTGTATTACTACACTGAACCATCAGCTCCTACTGTGAGCCACCCACAGCCAGAGTCCAGGTCTCCTTGGCTGGGCTGGTTCAGTGAGATCTAGGAACCTTGGGATACATCAATCACAGTCAGATAATTATAATTTTAAAATGTCAGCGTCATACTTACCAGCACTGTTTATTTTAATATTTGTTTCCTGTTATATGTAATATACATAACTTAAAAGCACATCCATACAAATCTCCTACAAGCTGCACCTTCATAATGAGAACCATAAACATACAATGTCTACTTCCCTTCCTGTGGCTTGGTTTTCTGTTCTCGTTTTCTTTTCTTTTTCTCGTTTCAAATGAGAGTCATCTGCAGTGGCCCTCAGGAGGGCCAGGACACAGAGGGTGAGGGGCATGGGGTGGGGGAGAGGGAAGAGGGAGCTGAGACAGAAAATGACAAGACATGTGAGAGTGAGGGGGAGGGGAGGCGGAAGAAAGGAAGGTGGATTTTGCAGCCCAGTGTCAAGACCCAAAAAATAATAATCCAGTGTTCCTCCTCCTCCTTTCCAAGTGGGGAATTTTCTTTCTTTCTCGGAACGGTTGATGGTGTGTGTCTTAACTGCTGCGACTTCTCTTGCTTTGCTGCAAAAGTGTTTTCCTTTGCATTCGAGTGGGCAACAGACGCTGGAGAAGAACAAATGGATTGCTCATCCAACTAAATGCAATGTGCAGAACCAGGGTCGTAATTGTACTTCTACAATCATTGTGGTCCGGCTTGCTCTAGTTGTTCTGCAGGGCTTTGAAGGGGGGAGCAAAGGATTATTGTCATTATAATTTTTTTTCCTGAAAAATCCCACCAATTCTTCAATTTGTCTGCAAAGGAAATGTAGGTGTTCAGATGTTGGTTGTTGCCGTCTGCCAAATGCTCGGCCAGCCCCAGCAGCGGTGCAAGGACGTGGTGTTTCGTGTATATATATCTATATCTCTATATATCTCTATATATATGCTTTTCCTTTCCCAGTCTCTCATCAGTGACAGTACGTCGCAGCTGGGACGTCGGTGTTGAGTCGGAGAATTCAGAATGAAGGCCCCTTCTTAACGGTTCTCTGGCTTGGGTTGGACCAGAAACGCCAGCAGCTCTTCACAGAGGTCAGGATTCCTGCAGCCAGAGGCATGGGGGGGCGAGGACACAAAGGAAGGTGGAGGACAAGAAAAGTTAGTCACTTTTTGTCACTCATCTTTAAATACAGGCAGGAGGTGGTTTTAGGTACCTTTACTGCGTGCCCTTTATTAGGGCTCAGGAAGACAGAGTGACTTGTCCCAGGCCACACAGCTTATATGTGGCACCTAAGAACTGAACCCACATCTGTCTGACTGCAAAGCCTGTGTACGTTTGCTTGTTTATTTCCAAGGAGGTGATATCTTTTACTTTGGCCTGAAAATTTGTCCAAGTTTCCTTTTAACACTGAATAGCTAAGATCACACTTGTTTCACTTTTTCTTTCTGTCTTCTCTCAGTTCTAAGAGATGTTTAGTCATGATGGCAGATGTTCTTTTTTTTGTTTGTTTTTCCTTCTGATCTCCATGAGCCTGCTGCGTCCTGGGGATTAAACCCTAGAGAGCAGTATTTAAATAAAGAAACTCCGGTTTGACTCCAGAATGTAGTGGTTAAGGGTGTGGGCTTTGCAACCAGGCTGCTTGAGTTCAAATCCCATTCCGCGGCCTCCTAGCTCAGTAATCTTGAGCGAGTTTCCTAACTCTTTAGACCTCAGTTGCTCCCCCTGTAAAATGGATCCTGCCTCATGCAGTTATAGGGAGGACTCAAAACAAGGGTCAACGTATAGTAAGTGCTGAATAAATACTGGCAGTTATTTTTATTACTATGTTGTTGTGAATTTAACCACGCACTATTCTGATCTCATTGAGGGCAGGAGCTGTCTTTCCAGTGCCCAACACTGTTCCTGGCACAGAGCAACTACCCCAAACCATTTAACAGGTGGAATATCATTCCTGCCCTTTACCATTCACATAAGGTCAAGTGCTAACAGAGTCGTAGAAACTCGATCCTTCTTGGCTTATTTGATAGATGGGAAAACTGAGGCCAGAAGCTTCAGCGACTTAGCAAATTGGCGGCAGAAACAAGACTAGAACCCAAGGCTGCTGCTTTGGAACAGAGCAATTATTTTTTTTCCCATTTAATTAAATTTTTGAAGGTAAGCTCTGGGAAGCTGGTGAGTGCTGCCCTCTTGCTGCCAGTGTTTGGGAGACACATCCTGTCTGAAGGAGGCAGGCCAGTGGGAGAAGATGGAGCAGAAGCCACACATCTGGCCTGCAAGTTGCAGGGAGAGAAAAGACTCTGTGTGAGATGGGCATGCTCACAGCAAGAATTTTAAGGAGGAAAAACTTCCATAAGGAAGGCCAAGAGTCAACTGGAGCAGGGACAGACGTTTCTGGAGGATTCAGGGAGGGAAGCGAAGATGAAGACCAGCAAGATGGACACCCACGTGGAAACAGGGCCTTGTGCACCAGGCTGTTGTGGTGGAAGTTTACGGGCTGACTTACTCAGGGCTCTCATCAATTTCTAAACACGGCAAAACCTTGAAAGACAAGGAAGCAGGTCCACACTGCTGAGCACCTTCTGTACGCATGACACCACCCCGGTACATCACTTCTATGGCCTGAAGGTTTGTGTCCCCCCAGAATTCACAGGCTGAGGCCCTAATCCTCAAGGTGATGGTATTTGGAGGTGGGGCCTTTACGAGGTGCTCATAAATGGAATTAGTGCCCTTATAAGAAGAGATATGAGAGAGATTATCTCTCTCTCTGCCCTCTGCCATGTCAGGACATGTAGAGAAGATGGCTGTCTGCAAACCAGAGAGGGGGTCTCCCCAGGAACCCAAGGGCCTGGCACCTTGATCTTGGACTTCCCAGCCCCCATAACTGTGAGAAATAAACGTATGTTGTTTAAGCCACCCAGACTATGATATTCTGTTATAGCAGCCCAACTAAGACACTCACAGATGTTGTTTAATTATTATAGCAGCTCCAATTTATAGATTAACTCCATTTTGTAGATGAGGAAACTGAGGCCCAGGGAGGTTCCTCTGGCCACACTGCTAGCAAGAAGTTTCTGGCTCCAAAGCCTGAATGTGTTCTTTCTACTCAATTTTGCTACTTTTGAGGATTTTTTATAGTGGCAGGCTACACTTTAAGTGCCAGCCCTATAGGTCAATGTAAACAGATTCTGGGTGTGTGGGATGACTTCAAAAGCCTATAGACGCTTCAGAAGTACCAGGGACATCTGAACAATACTGTATTATAATTTAACCTTCTCGGTTTATGACAGCAGAGGCCAGCGTGCAGCATTTTGTGAGCCTACTTTGAGTTAATAGTAATAATAGTCATAACTAACTTTACTGAGCACTCACTATGTGCCAGGTACTGTGCTGACTGCTGTATACATATGATCGCAATGACGCTATGACATAGAGACTATGAAAGTCAGTGTGTGAGGAGGTTAAGACCAGGGGCGGCTTTGGAGTCTGACAGATGAGGTTTGACTCTAATCAATCCAGCATGTTCCCGGCTCCATGACTGTGAGCAAGTCACCTAATGTCTCAGAGCCTCAGTTTCCTCATCTGTAAAATGAATGAGCAGATCACAGTACTTATGCCGAGTGCACAGCCTGGTGCTGGCAACAGCATAATTATGGTCCCTTCCATCACTTACAGCAATTGTTATTACTGTGAGTGTCATCGCCATCTGGCTGATGAGGAAACGTGTCTAAGAAGGTTAAGTAACTTACTCAAAGTCACACAGCTAATAACAGGCAAGGCTGAGCTTTGAACCCAGGTCTGTGGGACCCCAGAGCTCTTCCTGGGGGGACCAAAATGTGTCCATCCATTAAACCAACATTTTTCAAGTACTTTAAAAAGGAATTTTCTAGTTCAGAGAAGACTTCTCTCCCAGAATTAGTGAGTCTGACTATATTAAAAGTCAGAGGTGGTTACTACTTGGCAATAACTAATGGTAAAGTATGTGGGCAGAAAAGCAAGGGAGAAACTTCTGTCTCTCCAGGGCAGCATAAACAAGGTGACCTTTACAAAAGGATCTGAGAGAGAGAGAGGGAGCACAGTGGTACATGGAACAATGGCATCAAAGAAAGAATGAGGAGGGAATGAGACAGCAAAGGGGGCAGTGAGGTGGGCAGACACGAAAGACTACGTGGTAGAGAGGTGGGCAGGATGTGGAGGCTGGGGTAAGAGCTGGGAATGGCCAGGGAGAACGGGAAGGCAGAAGCCTGGGGGTCTGGCTGCGAATGCCCCGGGAAAGATGAGGAGGAGGGAGACAGGGAATGGAGAAGATATGAGAAGCTCATGACAGACACTCTAGCAAAGCAAATGAACAGCCAGAGGACTATACCTGGAAGGGGGCTTGCCCCATCTCTTCATTTTGCAAATGAGGAAACTGAGTTCCCACGAGGGAAGAAACTGACCCATGGTCACACAGCCGGTCAGTAGAATGGCTGGACTGGAGCCAGGTCCCAATTCCCAGCACAGAGTTCTTTGCATCAGTGGCTCCTGCAACTGGCTGCACACAGACTTCCTAAGGACCATGGTATAAATAAAGATTCCCAGGTCCTGGCCTAGCACTTCTAAATCAGACTTTATGGCAATGGTTCTCTAGTATCTGTACTCCCCCGGTGATACTGCCAGCTCAGCACCAGCTTGAGTGACCTATGCTCTACCACTCTGACATCTGGGGGACAAAAAGCAAGAATAACTGGACAACTGAGGGGACAGGAGTGACAATCTGCATGAAAGGCTGGCAAGTAGGCCCACCTGTGACCAGCTTGCACTTCTAGGCCAGCACTGTCCAAGAGAAATAGAATGCGAGCCACGTATGGAGTTAAAAATTTTCTAGATGACAGATCTTTTAGATAATATTTTCTAAATTTACTAGGTATTTCTAGTTTTCTAAAATTTTCTAGATAGAAATTTTTAACTTGTAAATTAAAACTCTCAAGTTTTAATTTACATTAAAAACAGTAAAAGATATAGGTGAAATTAATTTTAATAATATATTTTACTTAACCCAATAGATCAAACATTATCCTTTCCACATATAATCAATATAAACATTATTGAGATATTTTACATTCTTTTCTTCATATCAAATCTTCAAAATCTTGCACATGTTTTACTCTTAAACACATCTCATTTTGGACTAGCCAATTTCAATGCTCAATAGCCATGTGTGGCCAGGACTCCTACACTGTACAGCACAGAGAAAACATTTCCATCATTGCAGAAAGTTCTGTTGGCAGCACTGGTCTAGACCAGGGGTTGGCAGCCTTTCAAAGTGTCAGGAAAATGTTTTGGTGCTTTTTCTTCTGACATGACGGGAGTAGTAATCAAAGGAAGAGAAAGAGACATTCTTGTACCTTTCTAGAAGACACTGGTTTCATTCAGCAGGGAAGAGGGCAAAAGGAAGACCTGCTGTTGGTGGGGTCTTTGAGATGGATTTTTTTTAATTATAGTGTAACATGTAAACTTTGTAAAGTGCACAAATCTAAGCGTAGAGCTTGACACATTTTTACATATGTATACACCCATGTAACCCATGCAGTTTAGGGTGCTGACATTTCCAGCACCCCAGAAGGTTCCCTTCTGACTCTTCCCTGTCAAGGCCACATCCCAGGAGTAACCAATATTCTGACTTTTATCATCATTGATTAGTTTTGCCCGTTTTTGAACTTCCAATGAATGGACTCATATTGTGTGTACTTTTGTGTCTGACATTTCACTCAACTCAATGTCAGTGAGATTTTGTTTTATAACTCTGATAAAACTCATAAATTTACAGAGGGGCCAGAAGAACCCCTCCCCAATTTAGGCTGATGAAAGGCCTATCTGCTGCTGTACCATCTCATTCCTCTTATTCACCAAGGCACTAATCGCCCATAAGGAAAGAGGAAAATACTGAGGCCCTTAAGATTCTGGCCCCAGGTGGCCTGAGAAGGGTTTGCAATCTAGCAAGACAGATGGGATCAAGATGAGCCCTCCTTGGTAACATCCAGTGACCTGTGATGAAGACAGAGACTCAGGGACAGGAACGTGGCACTAGGCCTGGTAGGACTTTTTCTGACTTCCAGCTTACAGGCAAGGCCAATGAGGTTATGCTTGCTTCCATCTGCCCCACCTCAGTACCCACTGTCAATCCTCTCTCCTCTTTTCTTACCACTTCTAGATTTACTTTTCTGGGTCTGGGGCTTGAAACCCAAAGAAGCCAAGGCACCAGTCTCCCTTCCCCTCCCCACTCTGATACACTGAATCTAGGGGAGCTACCTCTCTCCTTTGAGCCACAAAACCGGGAATATGGTGGGGGGGTAGGGGGGTGTCAATGCTGCACTAGGGACCAAGCCACTTGATGGGTTCTCAGATGGAAACGACCCTCAGAGGATCTTGCCACTGTTTCCCTCCTCCCTCTCATGGCTGCTGAGTCTCAGAAGGCTTACCTGTGGCTTCTTGTCCCTCTCCTCTGGGGATGGGTCTGTTTCTCTGTATACGACAGCTTTGGTTACCAGCATGTCAGGATGCTGCAGTTTGGCCTCCTTGATGGCCAAAGCCAGGGCCTGGTGGAAAAGAACAGCAAAGTGAGGAACCATAGATATCGAATAGGGGAGAGCCCATGGAGACCAACAAGCCCCTTAGTGCACAGCTGGGGAAACGGAGGCCCAGAGAGGGGCAGTGGTCAAATAGTTAAAGGGAGAGACTAGAGCTCAGGTCTTCTGGCTCCTTCTGGCTCCCATTCAATGCCCTTTCCATGGGGGCTCCTTGTCTGGACAGGGTCAGCAGGAAGTGGACATCATATCTGCCCACAAGGGCAGCTGTCCACAGATAACCCAATATGGGAAGGATTAGGGACTGGGCAGTGCCACTGGGAACAAAGTTCCCTATCCCCGTACCTGGTCTTGATCAACATCTTCGTCCCCAGTAATGATGATTCGCTTCTCGATCCTCGTCTCAGAAAACCCTCCTTTCACAGTCTGCAGAGGGAGAGGGAAGTGAGGTCAGCCTTGGGGCCTGCTGGGGCAGCAGCCACGACAGGGGACCTATCCAAAGTATCCCTCAAGGGCAAGGCTGGAATCAGCAGTCACCTTCTCTCCTGGCTCTCTCAGCTTTTTCCTTTTCTGGTTTTGGGACTTCAGACTGCACATCTTGCCTGTCTGCCACCACTCCCTCAACTACCAGCCTGCCCCCTCTAGGTCTTCTAAGTCCAGCTCAAATACTGTCTCCCTGACCCTGGAGATCCTTCTGCCCTCCTGCCTCGGTACTCCCGGAACACCAAGTCCGTACCTCTCAGGGTTCTTGTCTCTCTGCCCTGTGCTGACCTTGTGTGTGACACGGCCTGGCTCACTAGGCTGGAGCTCTTGAGGGCAGAGGCTGTCTTTTGTTCATCTCTGGGTCCCCTCCTCCCCCACTCCCCTGTCCAACCTGACCAGGGCAGGTGCTAAATGCGGATTTGTTGAATGAACACATGAATGAAATGTGAATGGTGACAAGGTCCTACCTTAAATGACTTCAAACAAGAGAAAATTGCATTGACGACACTATAACCTCCACTGTTCCCTGAAGGGGCGGAGTTTGGGTGCAAGTTTAGAAGCAAAAGATGGGGCAGGACCTAATTGCGTGGCATATTGAAGGCGGGTGGTGCTGAGGGAAGTCCCTGCTGGAGTCAGGAGGGGACAGAAAGAAGAGGGGGCTCCCAGTTGGCAGCACCAGGAGGGACTTTGCAAGGAAGAGTTATCTGACCTGTATGTGGTAGGGTATGTGATGGAAAATCTTCCCATAAAGCTTTCAGTGAAGCCAACGTTGCTCACTAACACTTTGGGTGAGAGTGGGGGCTTTCTGGGGAATGTGCAGAGGTGCTGAGTCCTGCATAGGAGCAGGCAGGACTGGGACAGCTCGTGTGCATAAAGGGGCAGTGCTGCCTACCAGACTTCTCCTTTGATGGCTCTGCAGAACCCCCAACTCAACCCGGCTCCCTGGCCTCTCTCCTCCAGGCCACCATCCCTGGCCTGGGCTCCCTCCTGCGTTCTTCCAGGCCACTCAGGCCCTCAGGCCACTCAGCCTGTCAGCCTTCTGTCCTCATTGGCTGAGTCCCAGCTGACATGCCAGGAATGCCTCCTTTCTTTGGCCCTGCCTCTTCCTGCCCAGCTCTGACTCTCACCCTGGTCCAGCCCTCCATCCCTAGCCTCTCCATAACTCTCTCTCTCCTTTCTCCCATCTACCTGCACAACCTGGTGGACCTAATCTCCTCTCCTTAACCCCTTTTCACTGGGCCACTCCCCAGTTAAAAATCCTTGACAGCTTTCCAATGGCTCTCAGACTCAGGCCCTCCACTGTCACATTTGTCCTGGGATTTGTCTTATATGTCTCTATTCTGCTTCCCCTACCCCTATTCCAACCTAATTTCCCACAGTTACGTCCCCTGCATGCGGCTGCTTGCTGACAGAGACTGCTTCTCCTGTTTCCCACAACATGCATTGCTTATGGTCCCTCCAGTGGCCCCTAGCATAGAGGCAAGCATAAGGCTGACGCTCACTAACACTCGCTCAGTGAATGAATAAGCAAACACACACAGTTTCCGCTCCCACCTTCTGAGTTGCTTAGAACGTCTGCATCTGTCTTCTCCTCTCTCACGAGTCCTATCTGGCTTTCCAAGACCCTGCACAAACCCCACTTTTCCAGAAGACTCCTCCTCACTCTTTTAGCCTTCCTTACGTTGCCCCCCACTAAATCTCTCTAGCAAATTAAGGTCTATAAGGCACAAACATCATGAATCACAATTACTTCCTAGGAGATGGTTCCCCCAGCCTGGCTGTCAATGTTGAAGGGCAGGGTCCATGCCTAGGACAACCTGCAGCACAGAGCAAAGCACACAGAACTCCAGAAATTGGGAACACCACAGGTCTTCTCTGTCTGTGTCACAAGGCAGAGCAATGGCAATGACCTTCTCCAGCCCTGCAGCCAGGCTGGGAGCATAGGGTGCCCTGCTGCTACTCACTTTGGTAACATGGGTGGTGGTGGAGGTGGAGAGGGTTTCCGCGGTGGCGCTGTAGGAGCTGGTGAGGACATCTTTCCCGATGATCTGCAGAATATAACCACCCCCCACCCCGGGGGGTCAGGTGAGGACACCGGGCTCTGCAGGGGTGAAGGTAGGGTAAACCAAGGGACGAGTAGGGATCCCGTGAAGGCGAAGTTTGGAAGCCAAGATGCTTTGAACCACTGAGTCTAAGAATTCAGGAATACTGGAATCTTCAGAATGCTAGACCCATGAAATTCTCAAACCTTAGAATCTAAGATTTCTAGAACCTGAGATTCCTGAGGCCCAGAATCCTAACAAGACTCTAGAGTTTAAGAATTATGGCATCTTAGAAGAATGAACAGAGGATCCAAGGTGGAAACAGAGCCCTCCCGATTCCCTACCCTATCAGAGTCAGGAACACATTCTCTCCAGGGCTGGATGATGAGAACGACAAATGTGGAGAATGCGAGAGCTGCAAGAAACCTCACAGCAACAGACTCAGGCTCATGGGGCAGCCACCGACAGAGCCAGGTCCAGAATCCAAGCCTCTGGACTCCTAGTCCATTGCTTCTCCTGGTCAGTGAGGAGAGCAGATGCAAAAGAGCTGTCACATCACAGGTGCCACCAAGGGGAGGGGCCACTTCACCCCCACACTGCCAATGCCTTGCTTGTGTGTTGAGGGGGCTGGAGGGCAATGGACAAGACTCTGCTGGGCACCAGGGAGCCCTGTGGGCATCTGAAAATGATGCAGTTTCCTGGTGCTGCACTTAAAAGGGCAGCCTTCTGGGCTCTATGCTGCACTTGCTGTTGGCCACCTGTGGACCCATGTCCACATCTCAGCGTGGAGTCCCCTAGCCTGAGCTGGCCCTGCCCACTTACCGGAGAAAGAGAACGGATTTCCGTGGCCACCGTCTGTGGGCCTGGGATCATGGCAGCTGCCCCCTTCCCGGACTTGAGACTGTTCTCCTGGGGAAACAACAGTGCTCAGATGGCCAGGTCTCAGGTGGGCGGGCCCCCAGGATGGCCACAGCACGTAGCCATGGAGCTCTCATGGCCACAAGGTCGAGTAGTGATATTAGAAGCAGAGAGCTGAAGGCATCATTCAGTTCAGTCTCCTCTCATTTGTCACTCACTCACTTCGCTCACTCACATATTTACACACTTCTTCACACACTCACTCATTCAACAAACATTTACCAAGGACCTGGCCTTAGGGACACTGTGGTGAACAAGACACAGTATTGCTCTCCGGAAGCAATAACAAAGGAGTTGAGACATTCAGGTTCTCATCCTGGCCCTGGCATGTTCTAGCCACATGACCTGGGGCAGACCCACTTCCACTCTATGGGCCTCATGGATTCACCTATGGAAAGGGACCTCTGCAATGCAGGCTCATTAATGGTAATAAATGTCCCACTCTGGTGGGGGATGTTGATAATAGGGGGAGGCTATGTGTGTGCAGGGGTAGGGGGTATACAGGAAATCTCTGAACCTTCCTCTCAATTTTGCTGTGAATCTAAAACTGCTCTAAAAAAATAAAGTCTCAAAACAATTTTTTTTAAAAAGGGGACCCCTCCCCCACTCCCACAGAGACTTTATGAGGCTAACAAAGGATAAAGGGCTTTGCAAATGGAAATCTGTAGGATAAATACAGGAGTATAGGCTGGCTATTAATAACATCATAATAACTACTGTTTTCTGAGTACTTGCTATGTGCTAGGTTTTATGCTAAGGATGCATTATCTCATTTAATCCTCAGAACAACTGCAGGAAATCCTTCTGATATTCCTCTTTTACAGTTGAGAAATTAAGGGGCTTGTTCAAGTCCCCCAGAAAGTCAGTGACAGAGCCTGGATTTAGATCCATGTCCGTGAGACTCCAAGTCCAACATGCTCTTGCAATACAACTCTGCCCTTGGGATTCTTACCCCTAAGCCAGCTCTCCTGGTCCTACCTTGGATTCTAACTGCTAGATATTCCTGAAATTGGCCCAGGACTTAACTGGCCCACATCTGGGAAGGGGCCGGCTGCTTGCCTCTACCTCCCACTTTCTGTACCATCTCAGGGCTCAGCCTAGTCTGTCCAGGGGCCCAAAGCTGTGCCCATTCTGCAGCTCCCCAGTGGGCTGAACCCCAGTCCTGGTCTGTGAGTGATACTAGATCTGGACCTCTGCCTGCCAGGGGATGGGTGAGGATAGAAACCCTCTGCCTTGCCCCCGCCTTCCCCCGATGCCTGCCTCCAGCTAAGGCTGTCAGCGACCTGGTTACCTGGCACTCCATCCACAAGGCACTTTCTCAGATGGAATCCCAGAATGTGGCCCAGCAGCAGGCCTTGAAAGGACAGCTTTCTGGGCCCAATGCTTTCTTTCTTCCAGCTTAGGAAATGGCCACCAGCCCCTTGAATCCTACTGTCACTCCAGGCCATTCTCCCCTGAGGCCTCTTCCTCTCCCACTGCTTCCTCTTTCCCAGGCAAAGCCTCACCTCCACCTTCACACTGAAAACAAAGGCCACTAATGGGGACACTGGTCGTTCAGAACAAGGTGCCATCTGCTCCACCTGCCTCTGCTGTATCTTCTGCCAGTCCTCTCTCCTGCCTCAAGGAGGAGCGGCTCCTCTCCTGACCAAGGCAATGCCACCATCTCCACTCTGGACTCTTCCTCCCATGTACTCAGGCTCTCCTCTCTCGCTACCCTCTCTCTGGGCCACCTCAGACACTCAAGTCTTCTGCTGCCTCATCAAGGCCACTGTCTTCTTTATCTGTAGCCCAGATCTTTCCTGAACCCTAAACATTTAAAACCACTGTCTCCTGGCATTTTCCCCTGGAAATGTCTCACAGGCACCTCAGACACATCAGATCCAAAATGGAATTCACAGCCTCTTCCTGCCCCTGACACACACCTGCCACTAAGGAGCACTCTCCTCCAGTGCTCTCCGTTTACATCAGTGCTTCTCAGACTTGGGGGGGCGTCACCTGGAGGCTTGTGAAATCACAGACGGCTGGGCCCCATCCCAGAGTTTCTGAGTCAATAGGTCTTTGGTGGGACCCAGAATCTGTCTTTCTAACAGGTTCCCAGGACCACACTTCGACAACGGCTGGGCTAGTGAGCAGCGTCACCAGCCCATCTTTCCCTCTGTCACCTGGACATTCTATCAATGACCAAATCCTGCACTTTCCTCCCTCCAGGCATCCCTTAACCCTGTCCCCCTCTTCAGCATCCACCTCCTCGGACTCTGGCCCTGCCTCAGCCCCTAAACTAGTTCTCCCAGTAGCATGTCTGTCTCCTTCAGGGTTGGATTCACAGTGCCTGGCACACTACTTCACACAGCGTGGGTGTTCAATAAATATTTGCCAAAGGAAGGAAGGAGGGAGGGAAGGAGGGAGGGAGGGAGGGAAGGAATTTTTGCTCCACTCAAGTTCCACACAGGTTGCTAGAGTAATCTTTCTAAAATACATGTTACTATATTTGATGACATCATGCCCCTACTTAAAAAATTCAAGTGATGCCCCATTGTCTCTAGGATGAAGTTTGAACTTCATACATGACATCTGAGGCCCTTCAAGTCCTGGCCCAGCCTTCCTTTCCAGCCTCTTCTCCCCCTGCTCCTCCACACACTTGACATCTCGCTTCACTGACAACTTGCCTTTCCCCAAATGCTGTGCTCCTTCACATCCTTGCCTTTGCACCTGCTGTTTCCACTGCCTAGAATGCCTTCTCCCGTGACTGCACCTAAATTTATCCTTCAAGCACAGCTCAGCTGTCACTGCCTAGGTAAAGCCTTCCTTGGCTCCTCCTGGCAGGGGGGTCACCCCATAGTCTCCTCCCTGTGCTCCCAAGGAGAGCATGATTACACTCTTCCATGAAGGCAGGAAAAAATAACAGCAGCTCACATTTACAGACCACTTACCATGTGCCAGGCCCTCCTCTAAGGGCTTTGCATAAATTACCTTAGTTCATCCTAACATCAACCCTTTGAGGGATGTGCTATTATTGTCCCCTCACCCCATTTTACAGGTGGAAATTGAGGCTTGGAGAGGTTTGGGTAACTTGCCCAGGGTCATCTAGCCAGGAAGTGGGAGAGCTGGGCCTTGTTCACCACTGTGTGCCCAGGACCTAAACAATTAAATGTGCCCGTGATTATTATTTGGATGAATGAATTCTAGCAGGCAGTATACTTTCTTCAACTCTATATCCCCATACTGGGCAGATAGTAAAGACTAACAAATCTGTTTTGGAACAAACGAATGGATGGATGGATGGATGGATGGATAAATGAATGACAAAACTGCCTACTCACCATAGTATGAATTTAAATTTAGCCCTATAAGCACCCTGATGTCACGTCGTAAAGGGTTGAGGGGAGAGGAGGAACTGATCGACCAGGGAAAAGTGTGTGAGCTGGTAACTGGTTTGGGTTTATTTATCTTAAAATCTCTGTTTACTCAAAACCTAGGTGCTAGGTAGTCTAAATTAATGTAATTCTCTTCCTATGTGTACATCAGGGGTTTGGCAAGAGAAAGCATTTGAAAACAACTTCCCAACAGCTCAAGACAGATTCTTCCTGGGCACTGACGTGTGCCCCTGCCCCAGCCCTAGCCCCAACCCCAGCCCCACGTGGCAGCCGGTGTTCACAATAGTCAGGATGAGGGAGCAGAGCAGAGTGGTCAAAGTGGACAGTGGGGCTTCTGGAGTCAGAATGCCTGGGTTTGACCTGGCACTTGTTGCTTATGTGACCTTGGGGAAGTCACTTTACCTCTCTGAACTTCAGCTTCCTCATCTGTAAAAGGTGGAGGAAAAAAGAGCATCCACCTCACAGTTTCTGTGAGGACCCAATGAGATCATCCATTTAAGGTTCTCAGTACATTGCCTGGCACCGAAACCTGTGTGCCAAATGCTATCTGCTCTGGGCCATCCTTAAAGGATCTGTTGTTACTGGACTCTCTCAAGAACCTGTGAACCAGGCAGAATGGAGATTATTCCCATTTTACAGATGAGGACACTTGAGGCCAAGGACCTTCCTCCATGGGTCAGACAGCAAATAGGCAGCAGAACCACAGGGTCCCCTGGGAGATTGTCCAAAATCCTGAGCTTCCAACTCAGGTTCACCGCATGCCATCTACTGACCAAGGCAAGGAAATGGCCCCAGACACGAGAAAATTATGGGTCTTCAGGAAGGACTGTTAGGCACAATCCTCATGTGTTGTCAATAACCAAATAATACCATCTCCCCTCCACCCCTGCTGTGGCTGAGATGGTCCAGATAACTGAGACTCAGAGATTCCACCTCTCACATTATTTAATTTGGAAAACTGAGGTCTGATTGGATGTCCTATGACAACTATGATATCAGATGATAAAAGTTTAACTGTATGTCCCCCGCCTGATGCAGGGAGGGCAGAGGAGGACTTCCTGAAGCAGCTGGTGATGTTAACTTGTTATCTGGCCATTTCAGGGGGCGAGGGGCTGGTCAGAGAGGGAAGCCTCCTGAGTCCTACTTACCATGGTGGTTGATATGGTCTCTGTGGTGATGGAGGGAGTAGATGTCATGAACTCCTTCCCCACTGGGGCAGTGCCATCAACCTGCTGGCCAGAGGAGGAGTCGTTAGAGAGAAATATAGAGAGAGAGAGCAAGCCAGATACACCTGCAGCATCTGTCACCTGAGCCTATGACATTCCCAGTTACAGACAGGCTGTGTAAGAACATGCACTTTTGGGGGGGGTGGTGTCCACACACAGACCGAATTACAGAGGGGCCTCAGGTCCTCCACTTCATTTCGACAGTCTTATTTGACAAAGGAAAAATAATCCCAGACAACTGAACAAATTCTGTCCAAACTTCAGCGCATGTATTCTTTGACCTAGCAATGCCACAGCTAGGAAAGCACCGTTTGGATATAAACTTTGAAAACTTCGCCAAGAAGTATGAAACAAGAAAGTTTATTGCAGCACTCATCATTAACCACAAAAGACAAAGACAATAACAGGTCCATGAGTGGGAAACAGCAAGATAAATTAGGATCCACCTGCCAAGTGGGACTAAGAAGAGTAAGGTTGGTCCTTATATGCCAACAAGGAGTGATCTCCAAGATAATTATTTCAAAAAGGTGAGATGTAAAAGAGAACCATCTCTTTTGTGTAAAATTTTCAAATATCTAGAAACATAAGTATACATGATGGTATACGCATAAAAATTTCTTTTCTGTTTGAATTTCATAACTTGAACATTTTTTTGTTGTTTTGTTTTGATGTGAATAAGGATTACAGGGCTCTGGGATTTCAGGCTATTTTTAGTTTTCTTTATACTTCTCTGTACGAAAACAAAACACATGTTATTAAAACAAAACAGGCCAGAGAGGGAAAGCAGGTGACTGAGGTCACACAGCTCATCAGAACTTAAGAGTCTTGACCGCTGTGCTAACAGCCTCATAAGCCCCTATAAATATTATAAAAGTGGGAGAAAAAAATTCTGGAAACGACAGAGTTGCTCATGTTGTGTTGGTTTATGTCTTACTTTAGTTCTTGAGACAAAGATTGGTCTCTAGGGCAAAAGCCCCAGGACTACAGCTCTTCTGGCCAGGAATAAGACAGCATTTGTCAGACCCACAATCTCAACTTGCAAAGTTCAAAAACCACTAAAGGAACTCAGGGAATGCACTACATGTAGTGCACCCGTGTCTATTTATGACAGCTTTCTCCAGGGTATGAAGTATGTTTCATCTTGCTAAGACAAATGATTTTAATCTTTTTTTCACCTTGTTCATTTTGCCAATCTGTGGTGGAACCCCCATGCATAAAGAAATGATCCAGTGTGAGCCATTCTGACTAAAGCTGGATTGGAATCTCTCCCTTGTCTCTCCTGAAGCAGCCTGTGGGATACCTCAAGAAACCTCTCCAACTCCTTCAAGCAATCTGAAAGCCATGATCTAATCCACTAGCCACTAGTCCTAATAACACTCTCAGAAGGATGGGGGAGACAGGATCATCCCCATTTTATAGATGGGGAAATGGAGGCTTTAAGAGGTGTGGTCTGCCCAGGACAGGAGCCAGTTCCACCGCCCACTCCCAGAGCTCAAGGAGGACAATGAAGCTCAGAAGAGCATCAGGGTTAAATGGGGGCTCCGGGGGAGCAAAGTGGCAAGCGTTGCCAAGGGGCTTGGCCATGGTGGAGACCTCACCCTCAAATGCCCAATACCTATGCTCAGGGTACACTGGAAGGCACAGGTTACCTGGGTAGTGTCCACAGTGGTGACTCTGGTCTGCAGTACAGCCTCCGGCTCGATCTTCTTCCTGATGGCGAGGCTGCTGACAGTCATGGTTTCTGTTTTCACAGGCTGTAGGGAAATGAGGGAGAACGCTCCATAAACCAAGCTCCAGCAAGACTCCTGCTCACAGGCAACTGTGGTGTAGGGTCAGAGAGTTACCTCCCACCCCTGCAGATGGCCAAGTCTGGAAGGGTATGCAGGTCAGGGCAAAAGAGGCACAGTGAGATGTCACAGACAAACAGCCCGAGGGGGGAGCCAGAACTACCCGCAGCACCCAGACGGGCCTGCCCATGACTCTGCAACCATAGAACATCATGGTGGCTATGTGCTGTCTTTTAGGATACCATTAAAAAACATCTACTATTCAATTAATATGCTCTGTGCCGGGCCCCACACTAAGTATTTTCCTTACGTACATAATGTCACTAAATCCTGAATGACTTCAATGGTTATGCCACCACCTCCCAGCTGCTCCATTTGGACTGTTCTTTAGAGAAAGAGTCATACACCTAGCAGCCTACAGCGGCCGGGCAGAAGATATAAATAAGTGAGGTGGGCTTGCTGGGGACTGAGGTGAACTGCAGAGCACATGGGGTTCCACTCAGGTTTGGCCAACGTGGCCATGGCCTCTGAGTGACTGGATCATCTGACTTTTTTTAATGATATAAAGAAAATCCCTGGGTTTTATATTCAACGCCCTGATTTTTAAATCAAGGTCAAAGAAAACATATCTGCTAGCCAGATCTGGCCTGGGGCTACCAGTTTACAACCTCTAAAGTCTTCAGTTAAATGATCCGTTTCTTCTGAGTCCTCCATCGAGCCTAGTTCATGGCTATACACACAGCGAGTATTAACATATGTGAGCTGAATGAATGAATGAAAGCTAGCTTGTCATCTGGTTGGGGGGGGATTCTTATCGATGGCTGTAACCCTGAGATCTAGCTATTCATTCAATTAATCATCTATTAGTGCCTGGTATGTGCAGGCTTAGAGAAGCTGCCACCTGGTGGGAGAGCAGACCTGTCAGCTACTAACCTGACTGCTTGGGATAATGCTGGGAGCAGAGCGTTGCAGAGAAAGGGGACTATGGAGGGAGCAATACTTCTACCTGGGGTGGTCAGGAAGGTGTTTGCCAGGGAAGTGATATCTGAACTTAGTCCTGGAACATGACAAGTTTGCAAGGAAAGAAAGGGAGGAAAAACATTCTACCCAGAGGGTACAGCACAGAGAGAAAGCCCAGAGTGGATGAGCTCCTATTTCAATGCCTGGAACATGGGGGAAGGGAGAGTGTGGTAGGAGGGAGGCTGGGGCTGGGAGAGATGAGGGAGCAAAGAGATAAAGTGAACAAAGATCCTCTGATGGGAGGACACAAAGCAGAGAGGCCCAGACACAGTCTATCCCTGTGTCCCCCTCAGTGACGACATTTCCTCTTCTCTAGCAGTTTCCACTGCTACCTCAAGACCCCAGGGCCAGACAGATTTAGACTGCTGCCCCTTCCCCAGGAAGCCCAGGCCCCAGGGAGAGAAGCCTAGGCCAGGATCAGGAAAAACCATCTGACTTTCAGACCAGGCCACAGGAGCCCCCGCGAGTCCATAAGCACATGCTCTCTGCAGGTGCCATGCAACACAGGCAGGGAGAGGAGGAGTCGAGTAAGATCAGACTGCCGGTCATCGCTTGACCTCAGGCAAGCGTTGGGGTCACAGGGTTAAAATGCCAAGGAGTGCATGTTAGGGGTAAACTGAGATGGTAAACATGCGGGCACAGAACCATGCTGTTCTGCAGAGGGGCAGTCATGCAACACGAAACCAAGCTTCAGGCTGAGGGACTCTGGGCTGCAGGCTGGCGGCTCAGTCTTCTCACAGACGGCCCAGGGCCCCCTGAACATGCAGTGCCCAGTGGGCCCGGGTCTTGACGATGCTCCACTGTACCTCAAACTGGGGCATATCCAGGGCGGAGCAGGCCCCTCGATCCGGGCTGTCCTCGATGCCCCCAGACTCGTCATCCTGGCTGGGGCCCCCCTTGTTGAGATCCCGGGAGAACACCAGGCCCTCGGTTTCCGAGTCGCTTTTGTCTCGGTCGAGCTCAGGCAGGCTGCGGGAGAAGTCTTCGAAGGCGCTGCCATGGTAGTCGCCAATGACCGTGAAGTCGACCTCAGCCTCCAGGCTGGATGTGGAGCTGACCGTGATGCTGGAGCACTTGCGCTCAATGGCCAGGTGGTTGTCCTTCAGGAACACCGCGTCCCTCTCCTGGTCCTGGTCCTCATCTCCTGTGTCACTCTCTGGGGCCTTGGGACGTGGCGGTTTGACTTTCTCCTCCGAGCCCTCCCTCAGCCCTGCTCTCTATGGCCAGATAAAATCAAAGGAACGGGGTGCGGGGGGAGAGAGAGAGAAAGAGAGAGAAATCAAGGTGGTGAATGACAGAAGAAATCTTGGGGCCACGTCAACGTCCCAAGTGGAAGAACAGGTCAGAAAATGAAAGACACCCCAGAAAGGTTCCTCGACATCATGACAAGCTTAAAAAAAACGAAAACTTCTCAAGAGTGGGGATGCTCCTTTCCCAGGGTCTCCTACTGATGGCAAAAGCAAGTACAAAGCAAACATCCTGCCAGTCGGTCCTGGACAGGAGGCCCCATCCAAGGTCTGGATCTGGGAACTTATCAGAAGCAGCACTGTGCGCAAGGCAGGGATAGGAGCCCGGATCCCAGGCCCATCCGTGCAGGCCAACATCGAGAGACAGAAACCAAGGAGGGAGACCCAGGGATCAGGGAAACCCAGGAGGGGGAGGCAGAGAGGCTGGAGCCAAGAGCTTTGAGGAACAAAGAGGAAGCCAACATGGTTTTGTCAATTCCACTGAGTATCCGTGGGAGGGGTTGGTATCATCTAGAAGGAGGAACAATATGGGGTAATTCCTGGGAGCTGGGTGCTACATCAGTTCAACCCTGAGCTCCATGAGTGGGCCGGCGGGCAGGCCACAGAGTGGAGGTTCTGGTCCCATCAGTGTAATTGACAACAGCGGGCCAAGGAAATGCTGGAGGGGAGCCAGCAACTCTTGTCCGACATACATACCTCTCAACTGGCCTGTCAGGGATTAAACACCACACGCACATTTTTGGCTGTTTCATGACATTCTTTTTTAAGACCAATCTAACACCCACCAAATATTTTTAAAGTAGTTGGCTTCTGAGATTCAATGCGCTTAGAGATTCACTTGCTAAACGAGCCTCCATTTAGCCCGTTTCTGGAAGGTTGAGAGGTGTGAGGACACATTCCAGACAAGCCAGAGTTGAGCTGCCACAGGAGGTACTGCCAGAGCAGGTGGGAATCTAAGGCAGCGATGCACCCTGGCCAGGCGAAGATGACCGGGTCATCAGGGCACCGAGGGGCTGCAGAGACCTGAGGGCCCAAGGGGCTGGCGAATCTCAGGCGCCCTCCCTTTCCAGGGGGGTTTGCTGCTAAGCCGGTGACGCGCTTCTCTTCCCTGACCGCATCTCCGGATTTGTTCTGGATTAGAGAAGATAGTTAGTCTTAAGGAGGCAGAAGGAACTTGGCACCGGGATCGAGAGGGAACCAGAAGTAAAGGATGGAAACCTCTGGACTGTCAGCTTTCCCAAGGCAGGAGAACCAGGGAAGGGAAAGGATGAAAGAAGATCGTTGAACAAGCCAAGCAAAACAGGTAGGAACCCAGCAGGTGGGGGCAGCAAGGCAAAGCAAGTGTGTAGTCTGCTGGCAGTGGTGCCACCTTCTCCACTGGGCTGTGACCCTCTGGGCACCAGGTCACACCAAAAGCCAAGGGTCTTTGTGGCTAAGCTAACATGGGCCAAGCAGATGAACCTGTCATTCCGCCTGGGCTACACTCAGGCCCGTTTAGGGAAAAGAACTCATGGGGATGGACAAGCAGCCTCTGATTGCAATAATGACGAGGGGCCACCGAAACATGCTTCTAAAGAGCTACGCAGCATGCGGTCAGCTCCCCCGGCTGGGGGCAGCAGTGGGGGTGGGGGCTCACGTGGCCAGTTCCCCCAGTAACTTCCTCCAGTGTAGTTTCGCAGCCTGAATCGGGGGACACGAGCTGGAGTTCCATGCCTCCTTCCTGGGGGGATGTGGCAGGAATGCCCTCCCTGAAGTGTCTGGTCGCCAGCTGCATCACTGAGGAATGTGTGGCTTTGGGGCCAGCAAAGTCCCCCAGGGGCTGGAGTTGGACGAAGCCCAGGTCTAAGAGCTTATTCCGCTGCTGCTCCACCTGACCTGTGGAGGCCTCTGAGGACAACTCGTTTGGAAAAGCCCTTGTTTCACCTTGACTCACTCGGCGAGTTTCAGCTCCGTGGGTCTCAAAGATCCGAATTTTGTTGGCCACTGAGGTCTTGCTAATATCTTCCAGGGAGCCCTCTTGCGCCCCAGCCTGGAAAGAGGTCATCTCCTTTTGCTTCCCTGAAGGGAACACCAATCCCAGGGGTATGGCCCCCTCAACTTCTTCAGGGACAACTCTGGGCTTTCTGCTGGCAATGGGAGGCGCCCTGCGCTCACCTCTGTCCAGGGTCACAAATAGCCCTACTTGGTCCTTGGGCTCCGGGCTCCTTCTAGGAGGATGGGCCTGTTTGAGAAACACAGGGGACTGTTCTCCAAAAGGATCCCCGAGCTGTGAAGGCTCTCCTGACTCACGAGGGGCTGGGCTTGGAGAAGCTTCCTCTGGAGCTGCCTGAGCCTGAAAGGGACCAGGGGAGGCTGGGAGGGGGGTGATCACCTCCATCTGAAGAAACACTGAGGCCTTGCCGCCCTCCGTCGCAGGTTCTCCCATTTGGGTGTGAACTGGTCCCCTGTCTTTGGGCAGGAAGTTGCCTCTGTCTGGTTTAGATGGCTTCCTGACATCGTTAGGAGAGATGGCCCATGGCAGGGCACAGGCTGGGAGGTCAGGGCTCACGTCCCCTCCTGTGTGAGGTGAGTGGTTCTTCCATCCTGCTGGGGGACTTTTTTCAGCGTTTCCTGTCAAATCTCCACTCTTGGGGGCCTCTTCCTCTGTGGCTACAGTGGATGCTGGGTGAGTGAACTCTCCTTCCACCCCCCACCCAGCTTCTTCCCAGGCCTCAGCAAACATCTGCCCTGGAGAAGTTTCCTTACTGAGCTGCTCAACAGAGGTCTCTAGGTCATCCGGTCTTCCATGGTTCCTGGGAGGACCCGCCCCTTCCTCTGAGGAAGCTGAGTGGACTTCACCCTCTTCATCAGTGTTCCTGCAGGAAACTGTAGCAGAGCCCCGGGGGCCTGAGGAGTTTAGCTCAGAGCTCTCTTCGAGCTTCTCCAAGCGCTCTGGCCTGGTCTTATCTTGAGGAGAGGCATCCACATGCTCTTCTCTCTCCTCCAGTGGTGGAGGGAGGGCTTGGTCTTCAGAATCTTTCTCTCCATAGTTGAAATAGAAGCTCCTCTCTGCAAAGGAAGTATCGGTTTCATCACTCGAGTCGGCTCTGGCTTCCACATGGGCTGGGTCCAGCAGAAACGACTGCAGTCCTCCCTTGTCAGAGCTCGGAGAGAGGCCATCCACCTCTGCTGGCCTGGTCCCCGGGGCAGGGGGTCTTCCACCAGCCTGGAACTCCTCCAGCTCCTTTCTCAGCTCCGCCTGGCCCTCTTGCTGACCACCTGAGACCTGGCGCTTCCTGATGGTTGCCCCAGTGCCCACCTGGAACTGGGAGCTCTCAAGGAGCTTTTCTGCCAGTGTACAGCCTGCAGCCAGAGAAGCCCCTCCTGGGCCTTCCCTGACCCAGGGGCCTTCCTCCCACATGGACTCAAAGTCTTCAGGGCTCGCGATCATTCTTCCTTGTGGCTGGCTGTCTGCTCTTCCAGCTCCCACCATTTCTTCTGTGGCCACTTCAACTTTGAACTTGTCCACCAGAACGTCCACCTTGGAGAGTCTGCCATCAGCAAGGATATCTGTGTGGCCTGCCTCCCTTTCGTCCTGCTGCGCGGTAGTCACTTTTAGGAGACTGAGTTCTTCTGGCCTAGCGTACTTTCTTTCTATAAATACCCAATGCTCTGAACCCTGTGTTTCAATTGGAGCAAGAAGAGTTAACATGAAATATCAGGCACCTGAAGAATGGGTCACTTTTTCACTCTTCAAGGGACCAATCTACCACTGAAAGGTCACCATGTCCCCAGAACCGGCTGGGGAGAGGAAGGCATGACAATGCTAGTCAGCCTCACCAGGGCTACTTTTCCCATCAAGGCACCCAGCAATTATTTACTCCCCTCAACCACCACCCCAACTTGGTGAAATGGATTGGGGTCTTATGCCCTCCCCGTGTTAACCATGGGGAAATGGAGATCCATAGATGGGCAAGGCTCTTCCTCTTCCTCTTCTAATGATATAACCACCACTGGCAGAGGGCAAAGTAGCTTAGGTCACAGGGAATCTTTGAAGATTAGAGCCAAAAGAACTCCTAAGACATCCTCCAGTCCAATCTCCTCATTGTGCAAGTGGGTAAACTGAGGCCTGGAAGAAGGTCAGTGACTTACTCAAGGTCACTATTAGCTGATGGTAGAGTCAGAAAAAGACTGCCTCATTTTTGATGCCTGAGCTCCTTGCTGACTTATCTCACAACCTGTGGAATATGGGTCCCAACTGCAATCTAATGTCAAGTTGAGGGGAAGTGAGTTAAGTTCCACAGGCCACAGCCTGAAATGTGACCTTTCTGCAAGAGCTTCTGGGAAGGAAAGAGATTAGAATGAAAAATACCAAATGGCCAGGTCCAGACGTTAGCGCCAGTCACCACAATGGCTTAAACAGCTTGCACTTTGTGGGGTTCATTCCCAAAGAAACAGATACCCATGCCTATCGTTGGAGAATTCTAACAAAATCCATGGAAAGAGTAGAAAAGGACTGACCAGAACACATCATGGAAGGAAAAGATCTAAAGATCTCAGTGTCACCATGGGTCAAAAGCACCAAACAGTGTAGCACTGTCGAACTGTTGACAGAACAGCCCTCTACCTCCCTCAAGAATCCTTCGAACAATGCTAAGGAGGGAATGATGGACCCCTAGAACCATTAAAAAAGCAAGAAGGCCATTGGGATTTTAATCTTCTCGCAGCCACAGAATACTTGCTCCACATGAAATCTTCATGAAAGTCCAGTATGTAATACAAATACAGGGATGCCCTGTTGAAGTTGGAGGCCTGGGCTGCCCTAGTGCTCTGAGGTACCTCCCCTCTTTGAAATCACTGCTCTGAATCAAGCTTCTCATGGTACAGATGTGGAAACTGAGGCCTAGACAAGGTCAGCACCATGCCCAAGGTCAGAGAGTGAGGTAGTGGCAAAGGCAGGCCTAGAACCCGGTCTCTGACTCCAAGTTCTGTGCAGTGCCTCCACAGTAAGACATGCTCCCAACAACTGGAGGGGGAAGGTTTATATGACCTTGGGCTCCATGTCAGGTTACAATTTGGTGAGGAGTCTGTCAGATCCCATAAGACCCGAAGGATTCTGAAGGATCAAGGGAGCATTGTAAACTCTCTTTCTTCCACTCCATTTTAGCAAAATCCCCATGATTGTCAGCGAATCAAACTGTATTAAGGGACTCTTGCCAACAGGAAAGAGAGATAAAAGGAAGGGGGAAGGCCCAGACAAAGTCTGGCATAGGTTTTTGACATTCTACTTCAGGTTGTTAAGCCTTCAGGACAATAGCACTGATCCATCTCTGAGAGAAGTGCTTTGAGAGACTACAGAAGCCATGTCTCTTTTCTCTTCTACTTCGGAAACAGGAGCCTTTAGCTGCTCCCATTTCAGGATGTACTGACATCATCAGCCTGTCAATCATGGCCCAAGATGGTCAATGAGACCCCTTCTGGAACATTCCTGCTCCAAGTCTAACTAAAAACTAGCTTCTAGAAACTAGAAATTAGGCTGAGTGGGGTGGAAGCTGGCACAATGTAGAAAGAAAGATTCTGCAGGAAGAAAAAGGGAAATGTACTTATATTTAGTTACTATGTGCCAGGCAATGTCAGCCTTTTGTCTAGGGCATTAAATTTAATCCAAATGCTCCACAGGAGCAGGTATTGTTACTCTTATTTCAGAAGGGGAAACTGAGGCTCCCAGAGGGGAAGTGACTTGCACAGATCACAGAGTGAACAGTGAGGGAAGAGGAGGCTTGGCTTCTAACAAGCGAAAATCCCAAGGAGAAAAAAAGACTGAACCAGGAAGAGAAAAACCTCACTGGCACCAAGGCTCTGGTGGAGCCGCACAGTCCCAGGGCTTGGTCTGAAAGTGTTCTGACCTGATTACAGGATGGGGTAAGCCGGGGTGGCCCTGCCGCCATTCTTTCCAATGAGCCTGCTCAGAGCGCCCCCTGCTATCAACTGGAGGCACTGCAGCAAGACAGGCCATGAAACAGAAGGGGAGCAGAAGCAGAGCCAGTTCTGTTTCCACACAAAGAGAAAATCTCCAGCCAGGCAGTTCTGCTCATTCCAAGGTGTTCAGGCCCCACCTGTAGCTCTGGGTCACATTTTGGGCCCTGCTCTTTACAGGAGACTCCCAGAGGAAGGATTCCAGGACGAGGAGCCCTCTAGAAAGCTTGCCCTGGAAGAAACTGTTGAAGAAAGTGGGAGTATTGGGGGGATAAGAGGTTCTCAACTCTCAAGGGCCATCCTGGAGGAGGATGCAGAGCAGATCTACGGGCGGCAGGGGGCAGAGCGAGGCCCACAGGCAAGTGATTCAAAAGGGCAGATTTTCATGCAATATGAAAACTTCCCAATGGATGACTGAAGACAAAATGGTCTGCCACTAAGAATAGCAAGAGCCCCCTCTGTGGAAAGGGCTGGACTGACAATTTTCAGGAATGCTGATGAAGGGTGCATGTTGCCCCCGCACCCCCAGTTACGGGCACCTTTGCTCTAGGAGCATCTCTGTGCTCCAGGGCATCACTATTTCTCTACCCCTGGGATGCTGTTGACTCCTGTCCAACTTCTCTCAAGAGAGAGTGCTGGTAGTTCTGTTTTTATTTTTACATTGAGGAAAAATTCAGACCAGAACTGTGATGATTTATGTTTTACCACTTAGGTAGCTGACTCATGTCTCTTTTACAGTTCCAGCATGTTTTCAGCAGCTACCAAATTTTTCTCCAGGACTTGAGAAAGGTATATGCCCTCACACACCATATGCCAAAAGAGGAGGGTCAGAATCAGGGAGAAGGAAGTTTTGCCCAGATGATCGGTCAGTACCTTCCAATCCTGACAGTCTATGAGGTGCTGGCAGAGAGGGAGGATGCAGTCCCCCACTCCCTGGGCCTGGATTCCACACTTGGCAGCCACACAGGGGCACAGGAAGTTCCAAGAGCCCTCCACCTGCGGCCATCCTGGGCACAGAAGTAACGCCCTCCTCATTTAGAACACTTGCCTGAGCAAGATCTCTACAACCCCAAGGATACTCCTTGGAGCAAGACACCCACTTTTACCTGCCTGGAGACCTCGACAGACCCACACCGCAAGGGAAGTTTAGAGAAGATGGAGGCAGGGGATGGAAAGGACACCACCTCCTAACTAGCCACTGCTAGACCTTACTCAGGCTTCTGAACAGAGATAAGACCTCAGGGCAGAAGGTATTTAGGTGCCATGAACCCCGATCCTGAGCTTAGAAGTCAGAGCCTGCCTTTGGAGTCGCCTGCCTCAGCAGGACCTAAGAGGAGGAGATCCTTTCAGCCTCCTCTTTGAAGCCAGAGGTGACTCAGGTTGTTCTGTCTTCCCTGAATGGTTTCAGTCCTGTCTTTCCTGAGAAAAAATGGATGAGGGAGGGGCCAGCCCTTTATGGATCCCTGGGATGGGGACAATCACTTGTCATAGCATGGGGACAACAAGGGCTACCCACTGCTCCCAATTGTATGGGAGAATCTGGTCCACCCCCCTCACCCCAAAGAAAGGGTTTTCTTAAGACCATTAGGGTAGTTCTGGGTGGGCGGGGAGGTGACGACAGTAACCTCAGGAGACGCTGCGAGGCTTTTCTGAGTGAACACTTCCAAGCCTGTGGCCGTCCCAGGCTCAGGTGCCAAGTCCTGCTGAGAGGTGTCCTGGGTCCTCTGGGACTGCAGGGGAGGCCCAGGGCAGGAGGAAAGGGGAACAGGGAGGAAGGGAAGGAGAGAAAGAGACAGGAAGAGAGGGAGAGAGAGAAAGCAGGAGACACACACACACACACACACACACACACACACACACACACACACACACAGAGTCCGTAAGTAGCTTGGCTTTGTAAATCCCACATCCTTAGGGTTTGTGGATTAGGTCAGGAAGGAGCCACGCTGTGGGAGCCGTGGGGTGAGACAGAAAGGAACTGCCCATGGAGCCATTTAGGGGCAGGAGGCCTAGGGTCAGTGTTGCCAGCACGGTGCTTTGGGCCTTTCCTCATCGCCTGCCTGCTCTCATTTAAGAGCTGTTGGAGCCATACCACTTGGCCTCGATCCCAAGTCTTCCCTGGGACTCTTTGGTTTAGGTGATGGTTCAATCCTGCAGTTTGGGTCTTAGCCCCTTTTAAAAAGTTATCTTTGAAACGGAAACCTGGGTTTGGCAAATGGGAACTCTTCTTTGTAGTTTGGGGTCCCTATTTTGGTGTAGGTTCCCACAGATTTCCCCTTGGCCCAGATGAGGCCCAATAAAGTATGAGGAAGCTATTGGGAACTCTGGAGGACACACCCCTGCAGGATATCCTCCCCCAAGCCCATATTTGGATCAGCGATGGCCCTGTGACTGCTCAGCATTTTCCAGTTTATAAAGTGCTTTTACATCCATCATTTCATTCAACCTTCCCATCAACCCTATGGAGTGGCAATTTTGGTCCCTGTTTAGATGGACTGACTAGGCAGTGAGCTCAGAGAGGTGAGGTCACTCACCAAGGAGCCAGTCCAGTCCTTGACTACAGCTCCTCCCCATCAACCAAATCTTCAGTGGGGCCTGTAAGCCAGTTAAACGGTTCATCGCTCCAAGGTGAGCTCCTGGGCCAGACTCCTTTCCAGCAGTGGACTACACTTCTCTGGGCAGCGGTGGTGAGTTGGGAGTGGAACAGACTCCACCTTTTAAGGAGGACCCATCTTGTAGCAGTTCCACCTATCACCAGCAGGTGGGGCACCCCCTCAAGCCAGGCTGCTCTGGGCCACCCCAATGCACCCGAGTCCTGCTCTCCAGGGCTCATCCTGCCTTTCTCTGCTAGAGTATAACCCTTTCAGAAGCCTCTGCATCTCACCTCACCCACTTCAGGACTGAATAGAGGCCACTCCAGTCAAATCTCTCTCTAGGGCAGGAGGAGGGGGCATGTAACTGGATCACTGGACCAGCCCCCGTGGCCCAGTCCATGGGCTTCAGGGTCTTGATTGTACCACGGTGACCACAGAAGCCCTCAGTGGATGCAGAGATTAGCCCTCCTTCCATGGCACCAGCCTTAAAGGCCCCCAAAGCATCCCTAACTTTGTGAATCACTAGTCAGGGAGCTACCATATCAGCCTCACTGGATGAGGCCTTCTGTTATCCAACATGTCAAGGCCACGGGAGTGCTGATTCAATCAAATGCTCATTTATTAGATCATGGCTGCATCACCAATTTTCAAAGCATTAGAGGGCAGTAGACACACAGTTGACTCTATTCTGGTCTTCATGTGATTTGGTCCTGCTCCCAGGCAGCTGTGATTTAATAGCAAATACCATAGCCTGGGACACACGGAAATCAGATTCTGGCCCCTCTTCTATCAGCGATGACACTGAACAAGCCCTTTCCCCTTTCTGGGCTTCATCTGTAAAATGATGACCTTGAACCAAGTGGGTCTTGAGGGTCCTTCCAACTTTAAAAGGATTCTAGGGGGCCAGCCTGGTGGTGTAGCAGTGAAGTCTGCGTGTTCCGCTTTGGCGGCCTAGGGTTCGCAGGTTTGGATCCCAGGCGCGGACCTACTCACTGCTCATTAAGCCATGCTGAGGCGGCATCCCCCGTAGAAGAGCTACAACTCTACAACTATGATCTACAACTATGTACTGGGGCTTTGGGGAGAAAAAAAGAAAAAGAGGAAGATTGGCAACAGATGTTAGCTCAGGGCCAATCTTCCTCAAAAAAAAAAAAAAAAAGGATTCTGATTTGAAGTTAACCTTCTTTGTGCAAGTCCCAGAACTCTCAAAATGAAACACTAAGCAACTCATATTGAGCACCTAGGTACTCTGCTGGCTTCTCCATGCTTTATCTCATTGGATCCTCACAAGAAGTAGGTACTTTTATTATCTCTACCCAACGGAAGCTCAGAGAAGTTAACAACAAGCTCAGAGTCATCCAGCTAGCAGGCAGCAAAGCCAGAATTCAAATCCAGATGGTGTAAGTCTAGACCCCAGTTGGGTTTGAGCCCAGTAAGCAGCAGCACTAGAGAGAAAACACCTAAGTATAAATGGGGGTAAATATAGCCAAGACTTTGCGGTGCTAAAAATAGTAGCTTGGAATTATAAATATAGGAATTCTCAAGAGCCTATCTTTATCTCTTTTTCAATTGAGAAAACAGCCCATGCTTTCCACTCTGAAAGGCGGGTCATGTGGGATCCTTTGCTGAAGCAACAGGAGCAGCTCTGATTTTCTTGGAGGATCTGCTCCCTTCTAGCGGGCTCTGAGGAGCCTTCCAGGAGGGAACACTTCTCTATCTGCGTTTTCACAATATGCATGAAAGGGTCTGGTTACTGGATAGAACTACCGGGATTCTTAAAGTTTAGTGTGCATGAGAATCGCCTAGGAAACTTGTTTAAAATGCTGATTCCAGGGCTCTACCTCCAAATATTCTGATTCAGTAGGTCTGATGTGGGGCCCTAGAACCTGTATTTCCAACAAGCTCCTTTTCCCCATTATACTCTGGCTGATGGAAGGGGAATAAACCAAGTTACCGTGAGTCTTTTGAGTTTTTCAAGGTGGTCCCTGGGGTCCAGGATTCCAAGATTTGGTGTATTTGTCTTCCTCAGCCTAACCCACCACCCTCTGCCCACCATCACCTTATGCAGCCATTGGGGGGAAGTATACAGGTGTGGAGGATGAGGGTAAGTCAGTACATAGCAACCTTCCCCACCCTCTTGACCCAAGGCCCCTATTTAGGAGTTCAGGGTGAGACTTACCTCATTGGCTTTCTCAGGGGTGCCCTTGGGAGAGGGGGAGGCAGGCGAGGAGGGCAGCCTGCGCTCCCGCTCCCAATCTCGATCCCGGTGGATCAGTTTGCTGTTGGGTTCCTTCAGGGTCCTCTTGAGCTCGTTGATGCTGGCCTGGTGCTTCAGCAAGACGTCCTCTGGCTTGTCTAAGAACTAGGGGTGGATGGAGAGGCAGCCGGGCGTTAGAGGAACAGCTCTGAGATGGGATGCAGGGCACGCTGAAGATGGCAATGGTCACCATTGCTGCCCTTCATCAGCAAGCTTATTCCCACCCATGACCCCATCTCACCCTCACAGCACCCTCACAGCACCCCACGAGCCAGGCAGGGCAGGGATAATTAGCCCCAACAGGTGCACAAAGCACTTAAGGATTAAACAGAGGAGCAAAAAGCCCTTAAGATTAATGAGAGTAGACTTCCGGTCACCACCGCCTTTTCTTCTCCCCTGCCTGGCTCCCAGCCTCGGAACACCCAAGTCAACCCAAATCTCACAGGTCTGGGTGAGCTCCCTTTGGTGCTGTGAGCCTGGTCTTAGTCAGGCATGGACGTGACTTCCCTCTGCTCACAACCAAGGCACAGTAAGAACTCACCAACCCTCTTCACTGGGCTGCTCCTGGATCCTGGTCCCTCCCCGTGGCCAAGACTTGGACTATGTGCTTAGCCGAGTCCCCAGTCTAGGCCCCTCCTAGCCCAACATGTGCAATTGCTCAGCCCCTGTGGGGACCTGGAGTGCAGAGACTCCTAAGGCCAGGGACATCCAGAGAAACAGGCCCTGCTCCTACACTCGGGACCAGGGGCCAAGAAAAGATTGGGTTCAGCATTCTCTGCTCTGAGCCACTACCTTTCCCAACTACCCAGGACCTTCCAGATACCCTGCGGGTACTGACTCCTCAAGAACAGTCAGGGTGAGATACGGTCAGATAGAGAAACTAGGATGCTGTGGGGTATTCAGGAGGATTAGGAGAATTAGAGACCAGGAAGAAGAGAGGTGAGTCCCAACGCTGGGCACCAAAACTGAGCCGGGCACGCTGGAGTCGTGGGTGTGTCCCCATTAAACTGCCAAGTCTGAGCTCGGGCCAGAGCAGCACAACAGAGTAATGTGCCCCTAGGTCAAGTGAGGTCCAGCCTGTGCACAGGAGCCGGCAGTGACCTGCCAAAGCTGCTTGTCTGTCTCCTTCAGGGGGCAGCATGTAGGCTGGCAGCCGAAGGACCCTTATCTGCAAGGCTATTTGAGGATTCATGTGAACTCAATTCAGGGCAAGAAACGGACAATCTCAGCTTATTACAAAGTCAGATCAGGTGATTCTGAAGGAACTACCTAGAAGGTAAGCTTGCCCTTGGACAAGGCTAGAATCTTCCCCTGGGCTCATCTCTGGTATCCGAGGATCTCCTGTGATTGATTGACTCCTAAGTCACCTCAGGAAGAAAACTGATGCTACTGAGGCTTCTGCTTTCCCTCCAAACATCTGTCTGTGCCTCTGGCATTCCTTCCTGAACTAAGCTGCTTCAGGACAACGTCTGTCTGGGAGATCAAACCTGACAGAGTTTGCATGAGGGATGGGTCTGGGCTGCAATGGACCCAAGATGTGGTCTGTGACCTTCCATCCTATCACCCTGGCTCTGTGGGCATCCAGTATTCCCAGAGGTTAGAGGGTGCAGGGGAACCCTGAGATCCTTAGAGAAACCTAGTCCAAATGTCTTGCCGTGCAGATGGGGGCCTGGGGCCTGACGGGACTTTCCCAAGACCCTCAAAGAGTCAGTGGCAGAATCGGGGCTGAAACCCAGATCACGGGAATCCAATGCCAGGCCCTTTTTATGCCCCAGCCTCTGGCCCTTTCCCTCAGGCCCAATAACAAATCCACTTCTCTTGCAGTTAGGTTCAAGTGAAAAGTTGGAGACTGTGTGAAAGAAAGGAGAAGTGGTTCACACAGGAGGAGTAAGCTGAGGGAAGCCACAACAGGAAGAGGGAGAGGAGAAGGAGGAGGAGAAAAAGAGCGGGGGCTTTCCTGGCCGAGCTGGAGCAGCAGCAGGCCCCACTGGAGGGAGCTGCGGCTGAAGCCTGAGAAGAGGCAGATGTGCCGAAGCTCCTCCCTCCCCACCCCACCCCCACACCACATCTGGTTGCCAACAGATACAAAAAAAGACTTGAGGTGAGGACACAGGGGACACAGATGAGGTGCAGGTATGACCAAACAGTGGTGTGGGGAGGAGATGAGTCTAAGGGTTCGGGTGGGGGGAGGAGAGGAGCTCAAAGAAAGCACGGAATGACGTGGAAGAGCTGGGGGACACAGGAGTGATGGTCAGCAGGGGCAAGGGACAAGTATATGGTGGCCTGGAGAGGCAGAGTGTGAAGCTGGGTAGAGAGAGGGAGGGGGAAGCACAGCTAGAGGGTGGAATCTGAGCAGACGGCTGAAGAGATGAGCTTAACAAGGGGGTATGGGGGTGGCTGGGGGAGGAGGATGGCCGGGGAGCAGAGGCCAAGTTGAAGCAGAGATGGTGCTGGGATATGAGCCTGGGACGGACTGTGGGATGGTGACAAATGAGCTGGGGATTTGAACGTCTGGGTAGGTAGGGACAGGTCCCATGCAGTACCTCCTGCTTGTGTCTCGGCGTGGTTTCCTGCTCCGGCTAGGGGGACGTGGAAGGAGGAAAAGGAACCAGCAGGGTCAGTAGAGCAAATAGATTAGAGATACCGCGACTGGCCTGGTCCAGCAGTGGCCCAGAGTGCTCTCACGCCAGCAGCAGAGGCCAGGGAAGCTGGGTGGGCCACCCATGGGGTAGTGAGGTAGTGAGAAGATGCAAGGCACGAAGCAGGCAGCCCGAGGAAGGTAAAGAAGTGGGTGGGAGGCAAAGTGTGCAGTCACACTCAGCAGGTAAGGGTTCTGGGTATTCGTGCTTCCTGCGGTCAGCACATGTGTTCAGGGGCCTGTGCTCCCAAGATGGGACTGCATGATGGAAACACACTATACCCGTGTGTGCACATGCCTGTGCACATGCATGATGTTTGCAAGTCTGAGCATAGCCCTGTGGGTGAGGGGTATACATCTGTGAGTGAGTGTGTGCAAGTCTGAGGCCGTGCGTACCTGTGAGTGGGTGCCCAGGCAGGTGGGATGCAGGCAGGCAGCAGGAGGGGATGCACTTCAACCTCACCCTTGTCAGGGCCCACAGTGGCATCCTACCTCTCAGGGGAGGAAGGGGGCTGTGCAGATCCAGATCATAGTCAAAGAGGCAAATTAGGGGCAGGCAAGAGGAGGCCGGAGTCCCCTTGGGGACAGAGCACCCCTCCAGGAAAGCAGGGCAAAAGGAGGGGAAGGGTACAGGGTGGGCAGCATACTCCCCACCCAGGGATGTCCAGGTATTAAGCATGGCCCAAGGGCAAGGCCATGTCCATGGTGCACCCCATAGCAAGGGTGCCTGCCCACAGCTGGGGGCACCTGAAGGCCAAGGCCAAGGCTAGACCCAGGATCAGTCTCCTGATCCCAGGTGAGAGGGTACGAGAAAGCCAGGCTCCTACCTTTAGCTCCTTGATCTTGGTGGGGGTCCTGACTTCTCCCTCCTCGGCCTCTGACCGTCGCCCCCCAGACTCGCCATCCTCCTCCCGCTTGTCACCATCAGGTCCTGCGTCGTGGTTCTCACTGACCGAGGCTGGGCGGGAGAACTCTGCTGAAGTAAGAAGAGATGGCCAGGCGGCCATGTGAGACATCTCCCACGTGCATGGACAGGGAGCCAGCCCCGCCACCTGCCCAATCATGCCTGCAGTGAAGTGGAGTGGACAGTTCCACACTCCCAACATGTGGGGGATAAGAAGCCAGTATCCAGAGGAGTGAAGCAGCCTCCCCAGGTTACACGGTGAGCGAGAGGCAGAGCTGCCCCCCCGGACCCTTCCTGATTTCTACGGCACTAGAGCCTGGTTCAAATCTCAAATCTCTCTATTCTTGGCTGTGTGACCTTGGTTAAGTTACACAACCCCTCTGGGTCTCAGTTCCTCATCTATAAATAGCATCTACCGTAGACAACTAAGAAGAGAAACAAACAAGCTAATGTGTGTAAGTATTTAGAAGAGTGGCTGGCACAGAGTGAGTCAGTTCAATCAATGTTGGCCCACAAATGTTGATGGTTTTGTTGTAGTGGTTGTGGCAGAATACTCACTTGACCTCATTATTTAGCAAAACCCAGATATTGTGAGATTAGCTTTTACTAGTGAAAGCTAAAGTCCTGAGGTTTGCAAATGATTTAGCTTCTTTATAAATTAGGGAAAATTCAAAGGGATCCCTGCAATAACATCTTTCTCACTTACTGGCATTCCAAAGTACTTTTCTGCATAAGAAAGAAAGGGGTAGAATTACAGACTTGACACCAGGCATTGGGCCTAACCCAGACTATGCCCTGGGATTGTGTCCTGGTGGAAAAAATGGCTAGAAAACACTGAATTAAAATGACCAGAGCACAGATTATCCTTGGGATTGGCCTATATTAAAAAGAGAACAATTATCCCTTCTATTCATATATATTCACTCTGCAATTTATGCACATTATTTCATTCGATCCACAAATACTCTGATGGCTAGAATGGAAATTACTCTCCTCATTGTACAGAGGATAAATTGGGACTCCCTGAGGGGAAAGGTCCCACTAGTGACCTTTCAATGAATCAGGACAAGGACCTCGGCCTCCTGACTTAGAGTCCGGGCTTCCGGCCCTCCCTTGATGAGCCTCACCAGCCTGGGCCAGTCTTTGCCTCCTGCACAATCTGGGCTTCATTTAGGCCCTGGCACAGTAATGGAAGCTGCAGAGGAGGACAGAGGGACAGTACAGGCCCTCCTTCCCTTTTGCATAAATCTTAGCTCTCAGCCCTGTGTCCACTCAAGGAGAATAAGGAGCTTCTCCAGCCCAAAAAGGAGCCTTGCAAAACTGCATGTCCTCCAAACATGGTCAGGGAGTCCTGGGACAAGTCTTACCCTCATACTACAGGAAAACTATCAGACTCCCCTAATCACCTGGAAAACTTCTAGGTATCTTTCAAAACCCTGCCCAGGTGTTGCCTTCTCTGCAAAGCCCATTCTGCCCCTCCTAGATAGAGTTAATCCCTCTCCCCGCAAGGCTGCTCTGTATTCTGTACATACTTCTCCCACTGCTTGAATCACACTGAATGCTTACAAACTATTCTACGAGCACCTGAAAGAAAGGGGCCATACTTATTCTAACACTCCAAAAATATTTGTTGAGTGGAACTAACCTGCCTAGAGGCCTGCCCCAATGTGTTCCGGGAGGATCCACTGTTCCCCCACCCCAATCCCCACCTCCTACCTTTAAGCTGCCCTCTATAAACCTAAAAGCCATAATAATTTATTATTGCTACAATAAACACTAATTTATTATTGGGTATAATTTATTAAGGTCCTACTATGTGCCAGAACTATTTTGGGTATTGTAGGGGCATTATCTCGTTTAGCTCTCCTTATAACAAAGTGAAGAAGGTATTATATATTTTGCAGAAGAGGAAATAGGCACAGGAGAGTTAAGCTGCTCAAAGCCTCCCATCCATTCCTTCAGATATTTATGGACCACCTCCTGTGTCCACAGAGCAGCTGGTGAGTGTCAAGGCTGAGATTTGAACTCAGACTGCCCGACTGAATCTCCCCAGTGCCCATGTGGCTTCTGAACCTCTCCTACAAACTCTAGTGTACCTATCCTGGGGAGAGTCCTGGGCCCCAAGGGGTATGATTTAGTAGTTCTGGGCCAGGGCCTGGGAATCTGCATGTTTAACAAGCTTACAGGTGATTCTGATGCAGGTGGCTGCAGACCACATTTTGAGAAGCCCTGGTGTGCTTGATACAGGACAATGTAGACACAATTCTCATTGATATTAAGGGCATCTACCAGCCCAACAGAAATGGCAGTGGAGAGTCCCATGTGGTTAGATGTCAATCAGTTCAATGGAACCAGAAGAATGACCGGGGACAACCCCTCAGCTTCTAGTCAGGCAAGGCATCACCAGCTCCACACTGCAGTCACAATACAGCATTCTCCTGGTATGATGACAACCTGTGAATCACTAAGCACCTTTGGCAGGGGCCCAGAAAACCATATGGCTGAACATGGGACCCCAAAAGGCCATGACTCAGAGAAGTCGGGGGAAGTCCAGAGAGTGGCAATGTCACATCCCAGTGGGAGTGATGCCATAGGTTGGGCTAACCCACCAAGAGCTGCAAGAGTTGCCCAGGTACAGCAGTGCTCTCAGGCCACCATGCCTGGTGCAAATCAACTTGTGATGTGTCTACCACCTTCACCACTCATTCTGCAGAACCAGGCATGCCCCTCTTTCCCTCTAAACACCACTCTTTCCCCCACCTCCAATTTGGGGCTTACCTCCATCAAGGCTACGGGACATGGTGTACCGTTTGCTGGAGGAACGCTCAAAGAAGGGTGCAGGTCGGTCGATGAGGGCGCTGGCCTGGCGGGTCTGTGCCTGGGTCCTCCCACTATACCGGAACTTGGAGCCCATCACCAGGAAGCCTTTCGGTGGGGGCTCAGGGGACACCAGCCTGCAGTGGAGGGATGGAGGTGAAGAGAGGGCATTAGATCTCCATCGCCAGGCCCAAGGCTGGACCACAGCTGGTCTTTCACCCCATTGTCCCACCAGCTACGACAACTCTAAGTGCTCCAGAAGGGGAGAGACTTAGGAAAAGATGCGGGGCGGGGGGGGGGGCTTTCCTAGAGTCCCTACTAGCTCCTCTTCCTGTTCTCCTCACTCACAAAACACAGACATTGCCCATATACACTCACAGCCTCTGCCTTATCCTTGGTTACCCCACCCCAGGGTCAGGCTCACCGGAAGAATGTGTGGTGCTCGATGCACACCTTCCACAGTCTCTTGGCTGACCGGTGGTTTGGGAGTTTAAAGCCAATCGTGCTCTCAAACTGCTCATACTGCAAAACCAAGAAGGGTGGGTTAGAAGCAAGGCTTGGGCCCACTCTTGCTGTCAGTCCACCCTTTCTGAACCTCTTAGGCATGTGTGACTCTGGCTTGATCATTCATTTATTCATTCATTTAATCAATAAGGTGAATAATAAGGTGAATTGAGTCCTTACTCTGTGACAGGTCTGGTGCAAAGCAACAGAGACACCATAGTGAGTGAGAAAGAAGATTCTCGGGTGGGGGGAACTCTGATAATAAATAAGTGAACAAGATCATTTCAGATATGGATAAGGATACAGAGGGAATGGACAGAGATGTGTGATGTGACAGAATAACTGGGCAGGCGCGGAGGTCGGGTGCTATTTTAGAAAGGGTGATGAGGGAATGCCCTCTAAACAGGTGATCTCTGAAGAGAGATCTGGAGGATGGGGAAGGAACCAGCCATGTGAGAAGGCAGAGAAGAGAATTTCAGGTAGAGAAACCATCAAAAGCAAAGGGGTGAGGGCAGGAAAGAACTTGCTTATTCAAGGATCTGAGAGAAGGTCAAAGGGAATGGGGCACATGGATGTGGGGCGGTGGGGCAGAGATCTGTGGGACAGGTGGCCACAGGCAGAGTTTGGACTTCAGCCCAAGAGCTAAAGGGAACTCTTGAAAGGCGTTAAGTGAGGAGTAGGAGGGAGGGGTGGGTTTGACATGATCTGATGGGAGGGACTTTTAAGCTCACTTTAGCAGCTTTGAGTAAAATTGCCTGGAGGGACAAAGGAGGCAGGGAGACCAGTGAAAAGGACATTGTAGAGATGTAGGGGAGAGATGTGGCTGTTGGTGGCTGGTGAAGTGGAGAAGGACAAAGCAGATGGGTTTGCAATTTATTCTAGAAGTAGAAACAAATGGACTTTTTGATGGATGAGATGTGGAGGTTGGACATGCACATGTTTGTATGTGTGTAAGGAGCTGTGTATCTTAGTATGTGTAAATACTTGAGTACTACATGTAAGCAAATACATGGACATGGACATGTATTCATTGATATGTGTAACCTGAATCTATGTGGTTATCTTTACATGTGTGCTCTCGTGTGTATGTGTGTGGGTCTGTATGCAGGCACATACCTAAGGTGTGAAGTCTATGTACCGAGCCCTAGCAGAAGATGACTCTCTCCCTACCCAGCACCCCAGCACCCCCATTCAGGTATCCTGGGTAGGAAAAGACCCAGGCCCAGCTGCCAGGGTCCTCTCTATTTGAATCAGCTACAGTGAGGAGGAGGCATTCCCAAAGCAGGCTCACCTCCCCAGGCCGGATCTTGATATAAAAGTTACTCCTCTTGTAGGAGATCTTGAGAATCTTGGGCCAGGCGAAGCGGTTGATTCTCAGCCGGTCTCGGTAGATGAGTAGGCCATTGGCACAGACTCCTAACATGATGTCGATGCCCTCAGAGTCCTGCATGAGAAGGGACCATGGAATGGCAAGCAGGGGGTCCTCGCCTGGAGGTAGCCTGCCACCCACCCAGACACCCCTCCCTGAGCTCTGCTTGTAATGAGCCCTCAGGAGCAGGGTTAGAGCCTCCATGCTGGAGTCCCCTGACCAATCTTGCACATAATCATTCACTCATTCACTCATTCATTCTGTCATTTATTCACCCAGTCACTTGTTTGATCATTTTCTCTGTCAATCACTCAATCATTCATTCACCCAGCAAACACTTAGCGGTACACATTCAGCGCCAGACCGTGTGCTACGTGCTCAGTGCCAGACCGTGTGCTACGTGCTAAGGATACAGAAATAAATTAAGGCCTATGTCTTTCCCTAATGATGCTCCCAATCTAGTGGTGGCACAAACATGTTCATAAATAAATATAATACTAGGAGAAAATGATAAAGATCATGGGAAAATAAAGGGTTATGGAACTTCGAAGAATGAGAACTGAGAACAGAAATGGCTTCAGGTTGGAGGGAACACAGGGTCTGGCACACTAAACCCTCTGAAAGGATCTGCTAGTGCATCAGGGGCACCCCGCCTCCCCCAGACACTAGGGGGACCCTGGGACCTGGCAGTACCTTGGCATGGTGCAGGTCTACTCCGTACATGGAAAGCTTCTTGGCATTCTCTAGGAAGTGGATTTCTGCTTCTCCTGGGGTCATGCCCCTAAGGGAAAGAAAGCAATCACACATGGCCATGGGAAAGGCCCAGACTTGAGTCCTGCTGGCTGAAGGTGGCCGTGGTCAGAACCTCTGATTCTAGGAAGGCAAACGTTCTGGAGTGGGCGTGTGGCTGGGCCTCACCCAGTCCCTGCCCTCTGCTCTCAGTGCAGGATGGTGCACACCCAGACCCCACTTCAGTCCACCGAACCCCCGTTCCTGCTGAAGCTCAGGTCCAGTCTTGTTTCCTCCAGGAAGTATTCAAGGGCTGAGCTGGAAGTCAGGATTTTTGCCTCATTCTGCCACTGAGTTAAATGTGAGCCATAAATTCTGCTTCTCCATGACTGGGAAACCATTGTGAAAGGCATCGTTCATTATAATCACCCAGGAGCTCCTAAATTATTACCCACATAAGATATTTCTCTCAGAATTTTGTATCAGAAACCACTTAATCTCCCCTGCGGAACAGGTGCACTCTCTCCTTTCTGCAAAGAAGAGTTACGTAATTCATCAAGTTCCTTCTTTGCTTTGGCTGCCAGGAAACTGTACATTTTACACTTCATCACAGCTAACATTTATTGAGCACTACATGCTGGTTACTGTTCCAAGCACTTTACATGTATGAACTCACTGAATCCTCATAACAATTCTATAAGGTAGGGTATTATCATTATTCCCATTTTGTAGATGAGGGAACTGTGGCACAGAGAGGTTGAATAACTTTCCTAAGGTCACAGAGCTATTAAGTAGCCAAGTCAGGATTTAAATCCAGACAATGTGGCTCCAGAGTTTGTGCTCCTTCTCAACCACTTCAATTACATCTGTCTCATATCTTCCGGGCCTCAGTTTCCTCTGCCTTGTCTACCTCAATGAGCTGCTGTGTGGGATACCTGGATACTAGATGTCAATGTGCTTTAAGTCAAAAAAGATGTAAAAGCTAAAGAGATGGCCATTAGTATTTCTCCAACCCAGAATGATCCGAACTTCTTTCCCTGAATTATTACGACTATTGCACATTGCTAACACATCTTGGTACCTACAACAGGGATGACAAAGAGATGGCAGGCAGGCCATCACTCCCTATTCCTAAGCCCCGGCAGACACTGCTAACCATTTGTATGGCTTCTGTATCCTACTCAAGACAAGACGACAGCAGCCATTACTAACCAGAGTTGGTGTGAGAGTCTCTGAAAGACACCTTTGCCACCCTGGACCTAGCATTCCATCACATCCTAGAAAGCTTTCTTCCCCATGTACACAATCCCTCCACATCTGGCCCTAGGCCTCCTCCCCAGATGCAGCCCCCAGGACACAACCCTTCTCATTCCCTCCATCCTCGTTAGCAATGAGGTAATATCACCAGACCCCTTCCCATCTGCACAGCACTTTACAGTTTATAATGCACTTTCACATCATTTATCACATTAGGTTCCCATAACAACCCTGGACTTAGAGCCCAAAGCACTTCCAGCTTGAAAGGACTCTAGAGACCATTTAGTTCCAGGGGTTCCTCCCAGGGAATGGTATCACCCTCATAGAGGGCATTTTGGAAATGGGGGGGGGGTGCATTTTGGTTGTTACAGTGACTGAAGGGTTGTTGTGGGCATTTACTGCCTGGAGCCCAGGGATGCCAAACAACCTGCACGATGACTTCTCCTACCCCAAATATCAATAGTTGAGAAACACTGATAAGCTAAGTCCATACATATACAGTCATATAGTCATGCATATCCTAAATAGGGATATGTTCTGAGAAATGTGTCCTTAGGCGATTGTCACTGTGTGAACATCATAAAGTATACTTACAGAAACCTAGATGGTATAGCCTACTACACGCCTAATCTTATGGGACCACCATCACATATTAGGTCTGTCATTGACCGAAATGTCATTATGTGGTGCATGACTGCACAGGTGAAAAATGGGGCTGACAGGTTCAATAGCCAGCCCACAATCACACATCTAGTTAGTTATCTTATAACTCCTGGAACAAGGTGCTTTCCACTGCACAATCAACTAGTCAACTCCTCAAAGCACAGAGAGCACAATAATAGCTGACATGGGGTGTGTCTTTAATACGTGGCGTTTAGTCCTCCCAACCCACAAGGCAGTTTTTATTAGCACCCACATTGAACAGATGAGGAAACTAAAGCACAGGGAAGAGAAATGACCTGCCTGAGACCCCCTGGTTAGACAGTGGCAGAGCTAGAATGTGAACCCAGACAGTCTGGCTTTAGAGTGCAAACTTGTGAACTTTATGCCAAGATCAAGACATGAGGACACTTACCCAGGGACACACAATCATTATTAATATCTCCAGTTGGCAGATAACGGACTGATTCCCAGAGGCCAAGGACAGGGAATTATCACATCCATATAGAAGCTTAAGAACCTGAGGTCCCCAAGAGGTCATTTCAGGTCACTCAGCTAGTTACTCTCATTCCCACTTCATGAGATTATTTGCCCTCAGATGCACCTCAAGTTAGGGGCAGAGCCAGGTGGGGAACTACAGCACAGCAAGTGCAGGCCTAGAGAGGAAGGTTCTAGCCAATTGGCTGAGGAGCCAGGGAAGGTCCTGGGCGGAGACCCTCTCACCTGTACGTCTTGTGCAGCTCCATGATCCTCTCCTCCAGCTCCCGGGTCTGGTTGGGGGCGAAGCGGAGCTCGCTGACATAGTTGCCCACATGCTCTTCGGCATCATAGTCGCCCAGCTCAGCCTGCACGGCGTAGGAGCCCAGCAGGGCATGCGTGACGAAGGAGCAGGGCAGCCGGCCTGTGATGATGTCCGCCCGCAGCTGCAGGCACAGGTAGTATCTGGAGACAGGGGAGAGTGGGCATGGGTACGGGGCCCCACTCCCTCCCCAGATGCCCCCAAGCACAGCTGCTCACCGAGCCACCAGAACCAAACTGATCAACACTTAGCTCGGTAGAAAAGGGATGATCCTAGACACTGGCATTTCACGTATTGATAATTTGAGGGTGTCCTATGAGATGGTTCTGCACCATTTCACATGACTTGAAACATTTTTGTTCATTTCTAAGTTTGAGAGATTCTTCCTACTGTGGGAGCATTTTCAAGCTAAATAGCACTGCTTCGCTGGTTTGGCCATTTTTTCTTCCCTCCCCAAAGCCCCAGTACATAGTTGTATATTCTAGCTATAGGTCCTTCTAGTTCTTCTATGTGAGCTGCCGCCACAGCATGGCTACAGACAGATGAGTGGTGTGGTTCTGTGCCTAGGAACCAAACCCAGGCTGCCAAAGCAGCGCACACCGAACTTTAACCACTAGGCTATCAGGGCTGGCTCTGGCCATTTTTTGAAGACGTCATATATTTTTAATTATACAGTTAATATATTCCTACTGTGGAAAAAATGTAAACTTTAGAGGTGACTCTAACTTGCCTCTTGATGTCCATTCTTGGTCCTAATTCTCTCCCCTGGAGGTCACCCCTGTTATCCGTGTGGTGTTCTAGACCTTTTTCCTCTATGGACATGCAGGAATGCAAGTGGTTCTGATTCACGGGTGTTTTGAACATGCCAGTGCTATCAAATGCTACATCTGATGCTACGGCTGCTCTTTCACACGCAGCTATGTGCCTTAGAGCCCTTCCCAGGTCAGCCCATGCAACTCGACCTCATTCATTTTAACTTCTGCGCCGTATCCCACAGCCCGGACGGACCTGTTGGCCAATGTTTCATCAAAACTTTTTTATCTCGCCTCCAGCTCTAAGTGAATTGTCCAAAAACAAATTGGTTTAAAATAAACATTTCCAACCACTAGGCCATGATTTTTTGTAACTCTTATGCACACTTCAATGATTTTACAATTTTTAGAACCATTTTAAACCATTTTTTATTGCTTTTTCATTTATTGCATGTTAAAAAAAATGTTTCATTTCATTCTCAGCCAGCAATGCCTCCTTGCCCATTGTGTGACGTTTCACCATTTTTTTCAATTGCCTACTTCTTTTCCTCTTAAGTGGTTTTTACTTAGTGTAATTTTTACTGCTCCATGACATTATTTTGCAGTCTGAACTGAAGCTCTGGCCAAAAGTACGCGCAGCCTCACTGTGTGCTCGGGGCCAAGGCAGAGGTTCAGAGTCAGCAGCAGCTCAAACACCACGGGCGCCAAGCGTGGGCTTGTGGGCATTTTGTTCAAGTCTAAAAATTCAGAAATCACTGCCAAACTCTCTGACCAATATTTCGTTTCAATGAATTTGTCGTTTTGACCAGTGTATTTTGGGCCTAAATGTTTTTGACTAAATCAGCTGCTACTACCAGCCCATCCCCTGGTGTCATCCATGTTGGGCAGGGCTAACTTCCCTCCTGGTGTCCCTGGAAGCCCAATGCCCAGGGACAGGCACAAAGAGGAGAGGCACCAGTGGGCAAGACCAGAGGGAGGGGGCTGAGCTGGTCTAAAGCTCTCAGCCCTCTTGGGAATGGAGTCCAGACCCTGCTGCTGAATCTTGGCCCCAAACCGACCTCAGGGCTTAGAGCAGGGCTAATGAGGCCAAGGCCTGGGGCCTGATCTATTGCAGGAACATCTGTCTTATCTCCAAGGCCAGAGTCGGCATTTTGACCTTGGCCCGTTGCCTGGCAAACAGGCAGCCAACATTAAGGAGGGACCCAGTGGGAGAGAGAGGCTGGCTTAGTTGCCCCTCTCCTGCTGTAGGAATAACTCCAAGCCCACATCTTATTGTTGGTGGGCTTGTAGGGCCCAGCACGTGGATGACACAGCCGAAAGAATCAGGAAGTGAGACTATTTCTTTGGAAGGGGCATAGATAAAGACAAAGGCCTCTCCCTGTTCTGGTTTCAGAGACAGGATGAGCCCCATAGAAGCTCTGATCTTGAAGGATGCTTTGCACCCCCATCCAATCTTCAAGGCACGTTATCTACTGGCCCTGAGGCACAATGAGACTGCACATACAATCCATGTTCACCCTTGCAGCCCGGGCTTGCCTCCATGGGGGGTCACATGCCTCACTGGACGCCCCCATACCTGACATGTGCACAGAGCAGCACGCAGGACCAGACTCCCACGTGCAAAGGCATCTGCGCCCCACTCCTTCCTTATCCCCAAAGTGGAAAACTGGCAGGCCACCCAGCACATCAGCTTTTAGATGTGTTTGGCCTGTCCCACCCAGAGATGGCCCATACTATGTTTCTAAAAAGTTTGAATTAGTTGCCAACATTTAAAAACTGGTTTTTACTCTCAAATCTCTAGCTTCACTTCAACAACCAGGCCCAATTCCCACAGAGCAGTGATTGCCCAAGCTGAACAGTAACTATTTTAGATGGCGTCTGTCCTCTGCATTCACATTGGTCCCCAATGCTGCCTGTGACACTTCCCCCTCTGAAGTCAAGGGTCAGCTGCCATTGGCCACTGTGTTTGTATCACTTTCTCTTGCACTGAGTCAGCTTCCTTTGTTGATGCCATCTGCCTGGCCTCAGTAGACATCTGACTCTGCAACTGTCATCACATATGATCCAGTGTCTCCCAGGACCAGGTGCCCTCATTCTTAGCCACATGGCCAGCATGCCTTCCCCCTCTCTCCACAACCCTCACCTTGTAATGTCTTCGGTCAGCTGAGCAGGGTCAGGAGGGTAGAACTTGACTGTGAAGGCAAAATTCCAGGGGCTGCCTGAGAGGAGAAGATGGGGGAAAAATCAGAGAGGCCCTATCACCCGAGTGGGTGGCCCAGATGCACCATCCTATGGGCAATTTTTAAAAATCTTTTCATATCTATAATCTCAGGACAATCCAATCAGGGGGTCTGGAACATTATTCCCACTTGACAGCTGAGGAGACTGAGGCCCAGGTTAAGAGACTTGTAAACTAGCAGTGGATATCACCTCACGCCCGTCAGAATGGCTATAATTAACAAGACAGGAAACAACATGTGTTGGAGAGGTTGTGGAGAGAAGGGAACTCTCATACACTGCTGGTGGGAGTGCAAACTGGTGCAGCCACTATGGAAAACAGTATG